CCAACCAAACATACAAACAAGCAAGCAACAATATAAAAGGCAGTCCAGACACAACTGGAAATACTCAGCATGGAACAGACATGGAAAGACACTAGGGAATCACACTGTTACTCTTGCGGATATGGACATGATGCCATGGTTAAGCTAAAACTGGCTCCATGGACATAATGACTGCAACTTTTAGGTGATGTATCTTGATGTCTTTACTTTCATTTTAAAATTGTTCATAAATCTAATAAACTGCATAATAGATGTTCGAGATGTTCACTCTAAATTTCCCTACTTGAGTACATGTTTGAAAAGTCAGTTTCCAAAACTGTTCAAAACTTATATAGATAAGTACAAAAATATTAACAGTGGTCAGTCTAGAAATAGCTGGATATTTTCTTATATTTTTGGTTATGAGCCTAACTTTAATGGCCAAGCCATCTCTCCAGCCCAGCTGGATAGTTTCTTAACTTGGAAAAGTTAGTTTGAGTTTCAAAAAGAAGAGGAACAAGGAAGGATTACTTATTGAAGATATAATAATATATCTAAAGTCTTAGAAACCTCTAAGAGTCAATCAAGCAGTAAATACAGAAGCAGCACTAAAGCCAAAACAAGCTGGGCATGGTAGTTCATTCCCACTGTTAGAGAGGCTGAAGCAGGATTGCTGCTAGCTACAAAATAGATTCAATGGAAACAGCAATGGAAAGATGGCTCAGTGGGTAAAGCTGCATGGCCTGAGGCTGAGCCCAGGTCATACATGGTAGAAATTGAGAACCAACTTCCAAAAATTATTCTCTGAATTGTACCTGTGTACCATCCCACCAAACCATATAAAATAAGTAAATATAATCTAAATTTTAAAAAAGTAGTAATTGAAAAGCTAGCATTGCTCCCAAGAGAATGGGGAACATAGTCTGACCTCTGTCTTCTATGTTTTCCTCTAATGACTTGGATGACAACCACAGCTCTCAAATGAGTTGTCAAGTCTGCAACATACCTTGGCGGTGGTGGTCAGTTGTCTTTTGGGGCAAGAGGAGAGGAGGAGGCTTGAACATGTACACTAGAAGTGTGCAACAGCCTTAGAAAGGAAACAAAGTCTTCTACGGTTCATTAAGAGGTACAACTAAAGTAGTTCATTATAGTAGTACAACCAAAGATAAAAAGCTTTTCTTTAGTAGAATCTAATTTTTAAAATAGGATTTCCCCCTCCCCCAAACAATCAATCTTTAAATTAAGTACAAATCTAAAAACATTAGGTGATTCTTTTTGGCAATATAATCAGATAACAATGAGGGAAAATTGATCCTAAGAGATATTACATTGTAACAGTAGAGACTGTGAAAGTAGAGACCAATGGACAGAACAAACAAAAAGATATAATGTATTAAATGGTGTTAATCCATGTGGCTGTTTGGAAAACAAAGAAAGCATATTATTCAATAAACCATAGTAATTCCTAGATGAGCTAAGATTTAATCAGATTGTGCTATGCTTTGCTCAAGCCCATGGGAGACCTATCCCATTCTGAATGGAGACTGAGGAGGAGTAGGAGAGGGGGATGGTGTGTGTGTGTGTGGGGGGGAATGGGACACACCAGTCAGTATATAAAATAAATGAAAAACTGTTATTTAAATAAAATATTTAAAAAGACTTAATCAGACAAATTGGTACCCACTAACATCTTTAAAAAAGCAAACAAAAATTGTAAGAAATATTGGAAGAAGAGAAGATCTTCATATAGACTATCTTTATTAGTACAAATAACCCGTAAAAAATGTGTAAAGAAGTTGTAGCACACAATATGCCAATGACTTCCTTAACTACCAGGAACCTGTATCCTTACAGAGGGCTCACAGACAGCAGGTAGGGAAGATGTATGTACATACCTACAGACAATGCACATAGGTAAACAGAGAGGCTCACAGATGATGAGATAAATATATAAGGAGGATACTAGACTTAGAACTCAAGGATGTAAACCAAAACAAGAATGGGATCCTCTACCCTAACAATAAAAATATTAAAAATTTCACAACAGCATGTTTTGTGAGATCCTGCCATATACTCTTGGCAAGCATACAACTTGGTGTACTACGGAAGGAGCCAAAAAGGGTGTCATCCATTATACTTTTAAAAGGATGGCTATGGGGATGGGAAGATGACTCAACAGCTGAAAACACTGGGTGCTCTGGCAGAGTACCAATGTTTGATTACTAGCGTCCACTTGGCAGCTCACAAGTGTCTGCAACTCCAGTTCCAGAGGACCCAGTGCCCTCGTGGCTCCTTTGAGCACCAGGCACACAGGCAAAACACCCATACACATAAAAAGTTTAAAGGATGGAAGCATCTTGATACAATTTCATTTCACATCACATCTGTTCCATATGTAGTCCACTTAGAGAGGAAAACAATGGGAGGTCATGGGACAGAAACACTCTGAAAATAAATACTGTTACAATGTTTCTGGTTCTAGCTACCCACTCCTTTTATCTCCCAGCCACACTCCCCTCATCTTCCTAGTGAAACTATTTTACATAGTATTTACAAAATATCTTACAATTGCTACTCCTATAAAATTAAGAGCACAACTCTACAGTTACTTTTATAGGGAGTAAATGAGAAAGTACCACATATGTGATACACAGCAACATTTTGAAAAACATTAGTTGTTAATTGAGTGCTGAACAATTATCATCATGATCTACTACACAGGCTTCAAAATTTACCTCACCATGTACTTGCGAGAATCTTAAATAGTTCTATAACGTATGTTTTTCTTTACATGTATCTTTTATTAAAAAGTGCCTTAAACTCTTTTTAATGTAGGCAAGACAATTTAAAACATGTTACGAAGGGAGAGTATAGTAATTGCTGCTCTAAGTGCATTTCCTGCTACAGGGGAAAATTAGTGGAAAATAGGCATCATTATACTGAACAGGGAGGGCTGACCTCACTTAGCAAAGGCCACAGTTTCCCAAGGCCTATGCTCAACTCAATTACCACTGTGAGGAGGTGTTTTCCTTGTCAATTCTAATGACCCCAGGATTCAAGTGCTGATTAAACCCCCCAGTTAAGTCAAAGCATAGCAGCTTGGTCTTCCTGAGGGGAAAGGACTCTTCCTGAATGTGAGTCTGCTTCCTTTCTTACAAGAATATCAAACAGGGCACATGATCAGGAAATGCCAAACCCAGTTAGCACGAATAACTGATTGTATTTTTCATCTATCATGGACATTTTCCACTTTCCTAGCCCCTTACCACACTATCTACTATAACAACACTAAAAATGGAAAATGGCAAAATAACTCCTTTCAGAACACAAGAGATCAATCTTGTCAAGTAGTATGTAGTGAAAACTACATACAAATGTTGCTACTCTCACCTTTCTAGGTTTTCTTTATTTTTCCTCTCATTCTTCACTAGCTTTTGATGTCTCCTGTGGATCTCTACAAGTGTCCCTTTCACATTCACTACAATTTGTACACATCCTAGTTCTATCTGTTCTCCCAAAGCAAAAAAAAAAAAAAAACAATTTACTTTTCAGTTTTGAAATCTACAGCAAATTTCCCAGCAGGAAAGCTACTGGTAGGTACTATAAAATGTTTTGAGGTAAGTACATAAATGCATTATCTATATTGTGACACTCTATACAGAGGTCTGCATTGGAGTTGGAAATGGCTGGACACTGTGTTGGTGATGCATTCGATGATTCTGGGGCTTCATAGGTAAGCACCAGTTTCCGCATTTACAAAAGGGTTTGTTACTTGTTCTACCACTGTATTCAGTTTCCCAAACAAGATGATTAGTATAAAGAAATATTTGCGGTTATGGCTCTTCAAATGGGTTATAATCTGTCAAATTTCTAAATTCCAATTTGAACAGAGGTATATTTAATCAATATGTTTATAAGCTTTGTCCTAAAATGAGAAAGAAAAGCCAGAAGACATGGTTATTAAATGAAAATCTCAGTGACAGGTACTAAATACCTGCCTGTGAGTTACTGGTCAGTAAAGTCCTAGAACCACCCATAGCAACACAGGCTATCATCCTTCCTCGTGGTTGATCACCATAACTAGATGGTAAGACCCTATTGTTGAAGATACTTCAGTCTCAGGACACAGAGAAATCAACCTTGATAAACAGGAAATTATCCCTTTTAGATAGCTTACCAAATACCAGAAGGTGCTATGCTGCCTATTGGAGGAGAAAAGACAAGCACAGTCTCATGCAGTGCTAGACCCTGCATGCTCCAATACTGGCATGCCTGACAAAATGTGCTCCATGTTGCAATAATGTCCTGACAGTTACAGAAGGAGGTATGAGGCCTCCTCCATAGGGGGGGTTTCATTCCTGGTTCTAGAAATCTGGTCAAAAGCCCATGACTACCAAGGTTATAGGCCCTTATGGCAAATTTATTATTATTTAAATGATCATGCTGTATAATTGCCTTTTAAATATTTATGTTTATACCACAGATCTGTGTTGTTTTTAACTTTTGTCAGAGAAGATAACTTTTGTAATCAAAATTACAATATAAACACACCCTTAGCAGAGGAATTACTGGCAGTCGGTGGCTACAGAAGGAGAGGAGTTGCTCTCTTTTGGGGATATGGCTGTTGATAGTTTGCCCCCCACCCCCTTCCAAGGATGGCATTACACACTTGTAAAAGTAGGTAACACTAATTGAACTCAGGAGATAATTAATGACAACTACTTTTAAAAAAAGACCCAGAGTTGGAAAGGAGGTAAGAGTGGGGGCACTTGAAGGAGCTGGAAAGAGGTAATGATGGATGGATATGATCAAAACACATTGTATGACATATGAAACTTGCACTTTGTTTTTTAAAGAAAGAAAAGCCACAAGCAGCTGGTAAGACACTAACTGATACTATGCTTTCACCAAGTATAATGCTTATGTCTTAACAATAACAACAACAACAAAAAAATGTCAGTGTTAACTGTGTCATACTCTCTGATCCTGGAATTTCGTTTGTATGCCAGGACATTTCTTACCAGGTTCTGGGAGATCTAATTTTGCCCGTTTTAGTTCTGACATAGAAACCTGAAGTTGTTCTATTACAAAATCATCCTCGAAGAAAAAGTCCTTGGCGAGAGTCTCCTGAAGAAATTCTACAAGTTCTTCCATAGACAATTTCATTAGATGTTCTAGGAAAGGATGAGAGAAATGCAAATGCCAGTCAACAGTTCTGTTTAGATTGAAAGAAGACATACTCTATTGAGTTCAGTGAGTTTTAAAAGAGTATTAAAAGGATATATACACAACTTACATTGAGCATTGTGAATGTCATTAAAACCCAGTGGGATAGTATTTTGATATTAGAAAAAGCAGGCTGATCATATTAGGAGGAAAGACAGAAAGATGTACATGATCAAATATTTTCTCAGTGATTTAAAAGTAATCATGTCTAGACATTAACACTAACCCACGACAAGAGCTTCTATAAGTCAATAAATGTTTATTTATCTCATTTATTGGCTGGAACTTTAGCTCAGATTGACAAGTCTTCTTTAACTAACACAGTGGTAGAAAATTTCCCTCAAAAAACAAACAAAACAAAAGATTACTAACTTTATTTATATTGGTTCTACTGAGGAAATTGGCTTCATTAGGAAAAAATCAAATTACAGTGGAAAGTAGAAATAGACACCACTAAGATCTCTCTACCCATACCTTACAAGTAGATGTGTCATGTTCATCTATGTGCATGGGCATCAATTCACAATACAGGATACACTGTCTGAGCTTGCATTTCTTGCTTTATTCAAAAGCATACAAATGTTCTCTCTCAACTATTATTAGCAGTGATACTGAGAAGCATACATTATTGTTCCTTTGAGTGAAAATCTAGCAACACTAACTTTAAAGTAATCAGGAAAATATAAAGAGAGGAGAATAGCTCTGACTAGAGTCAGCTGTTAAGGTACCCAGTCACGTTTGCTTTTCTGTTTTGTTGTTGGTTTTTTTTTAACTAGCAAGTGACATACTGTAAAATGACTAAACTAATGTGATTATTAAATCCACCACTAATCATACTTACTTTTGTGAGGAAATCATTTAAAATCTACTCTCTGTTACATAACTACTAACTGTGCTCACTAATCCACATAGTACATCTCCAGAATGTACCCTGCCATCTAGTAAAACTTTGTAGCTCAAGAGCAACATCTCTCAGTATTCCCTGTTCCTCAACATTTATTTCTTCATAAGGCAGTGCAAGAAACTCACTGAAGATGTAAGAGTTTTGCTTCCTAAACAGTCTAATGATATACTAGCAAGTAAAGTGATTGCTATGCTCAGAGTTAATTTACAAAGGGTAAAGAGTCATACCAAGTAAAATAATTTAAGAGAGAAATGAGAACCATTTTCACTGTTTAGAGACAAACTATTGTTTAATTAAGATATACTTTTTAAGTATATTTTGATCTACTGATAACCTGTAGTGAGTCCTGGCATAAAGAAAGAAGGGAGAAGGAGAAGAGAAGAAAGGGAAAGGGCTTTCATCCAGCAATGACATAACCCGACTTTGGGAAGGAAATATGTTGCCAGTGCTTGTTTTGGTGTTGGCTCATGTGCTGGGCCGTAACTACAGCATTTCTGACAGCTTTCCTAGAAGAGCACAAGAGCGAGGCCACATCACAGGTGGAGTGTGGTTAATGTGGCACTGATGTGTTCAGTGTTCAGGTCAGTGACCAAGCAATCTCGATGAAAGCACTGAGTATGGCCAGGGACAGCAGGAACACAGCCCATACACTTGACCTCATGCCCTCAACTGACTTAGTGAGAAGGCCAAACATCATTCAACAATGATATATGGGAATGGGGTACACACAAATGTGCATGTACACAACATGAAATTCTAGGCTGCCCATGACCTACATCTCTACAGAGGTATAAGAGGAGTCACAAGGATTAAGGTTGAAATGAAAATAGAAAAACTCTCATTTCCTGAACTTTAAGGCCCAACACATCATATTCACAGATCCCCTGAGATACTGCAACTGAAAACTAAGAGGTCTTTAGTTTTTGTTTTGGAAAATCTTGCTGCACGCATTTGAATGTACTTGACAAAGGCCATGACAGTCAAGTCCCACCCAGAGCTTGAAACTAGATGCACTTTCTTTTAGAGAAAGAAACAGTAACAGACATATTTTTCCCCCAGCCCACTCACCTAAGAGGCCTAGTTTCTTGCTCTCTCTGCCTTATTACAAACCTGAGACTCAGGCCAACTGGAAGAACAAGGGTCCCAGTGGAAACCAATGCAAAAATAACATTATTAGTGACATGAAAAACCGCCTCCTACTGTTTAAGTATGGAAATGAAACTGACACAGGAGAAAGGATCCAAGACCTTCTGATACAATATGTGTCTAGTCCCGAGAATCAGGAATTCCCTGATGATCGCCAAGAAAAGTTTAAAAACTAGCAGTAGTTCTCAAAACCACTAAAAATGAGGGAGCCCAAGCTAGCAGGAGTTAAAATAAGCCTTATTTTTGTAAAGTCTCTGCAGTCAAATGTTTCCTTACTTCTGTGTAATTTCAAGATCGTGTAAGACATAGCTGTAAGAACTCGCTCTCCTTCAAAGATATAGATGTCCCATATCCTGAGGTTCAGTGTGAAGGGAGTCTACAACAGAGAACAAAGCAAGGCAATGTACCGTTAGTGCTTCCCTTACCCTGGCATGTACTTTCCTTAGTAAGGTTTATGAAAAGTACTTACTCGATCAAGAAAACACTGAAAAAACCATTTCATTGTATAAAAACTTGTGTAGATTTCTTGAGTATCCTGAAAAACAAAGATCTCATAATTCTGGAGTTGTAGCAAACAAAAGAGCACTAGTAAGGTAGCTGTCAAAGGTAAGCACATAAACATCACATTACAATATTTTCATACTTTCTCTGTTTTCCTATGCCTGTTTTGAATCTCCAAATTTAACTACTAAGAATTATCACAAGAACTGTGTCACCATAATAGGACTGTAACACAATCATTAGTATATTTTGCAGCGAACTGCTTCATTGCACCATTATATTTTATAGTAAAGCATTTATGTGTTTCACAAGGAAGCATTTTTATGCTTCTTATAATGCTTTTGCACAATTTAAAGCCTAAAAACATAATGTAGAAATCATGCATTTGTAAAAATTTTTATTAGTAGTATTTATCAGCTTCACAGAAGTAATCTGAACCTATGAATTAGGACTGCGGTAGTCTATTAATGCTGAATTTTACATCTAATGTTCTTCCAACAGTTGAGGATTATGACTACACAGTGAGCTAACCAGGAACAGGGAACCCAGGCTGAACTGAACTAATTACTGCTTCTTCACTCTCGGTGTAGGTGGCTATAAATCAGTGACATATCTACCTACCAAGTGTTGCTTAAGTTTGGACAGAAATTTATTCAGAATTTTTTCATGATGTTCTTGAAATCTCAAAAGTTTAGGAAAACCTTGGACAAAAAAGCCTAGAACACAAACAAACAAACAAAGAAAACAGAACTTCAGAGACAGTACCAACAAAACCCCTAACTTAAAATGCAACACACTGTATTTATATCTGTCAAAATAAAAAGAACCTCCCTAGTGACCATGAGGGTTTTCTTCCCCATCATAGAGATAATTTCATGTGAACTTTGGATAGTAAAAACTTTTAGGTAGCATTTGTTTGCTAACTACCACTTTTACTTTGTAGAACTGATAAAGAGGAAAACATATTTCTAAGTTAGGAGGAAAACTTTAACAGCAAAAGACAATGGAAAATGAATCCATTTATCAGTCTCCTTTACCAGTGCTGGCTGTAACTTTACAAGCTGTTCACTCCTGATGACCACTATGCTCTACTGTTAATACCTTTCATATCTTACTACATTTTTAAAGTATACACTAACAATTTCATTACTGTGTCTCTACATTTTTAAAATCACTTTTAAATTATTTTCATAAACTATAACATCAGCTAAAACATACAGGTACTTTAAGTTATACCAAGACCTATATGTAATACATTGTAATCTGTAGGACTTCTAGGAAGTAACTAATTGAAATTAGTACTAATTTGAATATTTAGCTTACTGAATTTACAACTATTTTTTATTCATAAGTTCCTTTTCAGGTATTTATACAATCCATTTCAGAACATATACCTAATGAATTTTATTTCTGCAATTAGTATTTTCAAACCTAGTTTCTAAGCACATCTCGGAGATGTTAATAGGCATCTTTTGGTTTTCTAAAAACTAAGGGAAAGGTATGTCATACACATTCTCCTTGAGTATTCATTATTGAAAATAGCTTATAAGCATTAAGTTGTCTTTCAGATTTAATGAAACCTGTTTTGCTTTAATTTAGTCTCACATATTTGTTTGATTTAAGAGTCCATTAATTACTCCATATAACATGTAATTTAAAAAGTAATTGTTTTCTAAACATATCAGCAAGTATAATGAAAGATCCTAATATACTGAATTAGTAAATTTTCTAACAAAAAGCCTTAAAAATGTATATACAGTTTTGTAAATGTAACTTGGTACTGGTTAATAAAACTACACGAAATTCATACTTGTGATTTTCATGGAAGTAAAGCCAAAGCAAAAAGCAATGGATCCAGTGTGCTTCAGGAACCCAGGGACACAGCAATGAAACACTGCACTTATAGTTTGAGTTCAGTTTTGAAGATGTGTGTAAAAGTTTCCAAAGATCCTGTCCTTCATTTAGTAATAGTTTTGTTTTGTTTACAGTAAAATGATTTTATCTAAAAATCTCTCTCCATTGGAGCCACTTCCATGGTCAATTAGACAGGAATGGGGAAAAAAATCTGATTTTAAAAAAAGCCAATGTACTTCAGTAAGAACCAGCTTAAGCAAGCTATGACTGTCTAACACTTTTCAGTGACAACCTGGGCTCAGTATTTTAAATTGGTGTCTGTCTAGTTCTAGGTTGATGCCATACACTTACAAGTGATAAACTTTTACACAGAAAATACAAAGAGCAGAGGTAAATTCCAGTCACAAAACTGCACAGGTCTAGAGACAAATTATCCCTCAAGTATAATGTCACCCATAAAAACATCCTAAACTATACTGCAGGAACAAATGATAGGGCTGTAAAATTAACACTGCTTAAAAATTAGACAGTGACAGTTTAAGTTACAAGATGTTCAAAAGAAAATACCATTTTCTAAAATCTGATGAAAACATCACCACACAATTAACCTATCACCAAGCAGGAAACACTCCACTATATTCCAGGACAGCTCAGCAACACCATCACAAAGGGAGCCCAGAGAAAGACTAATGATAGTGATGGGTTCTTTTTGCCAAAATGTCTTTTCAATTCTACAGTTTATTAGATGATAACTTTTTTTTTGTTGATTTTTTGAGACAGGGTTTCTCTGTGGCTTTGGAGGCTGTCCTGGAACTCTCTCTGTAGACCAGGCTGGTCTCGAACTCACAGAGATCCGCCTGCCTCTGCCTCCCGAGTGCTGGGATTAAAGGCGTGCGCCACCAACGCCCGGCTTAGATGATAACTTGATACAATAGTATATCTCACTTCTGGAGTCCATTTAAGGCATTACAAGTACTCAGAATCAGTTACCATACAGGTATCTGTTAAAATAACTAGCGAGAAACATGGGGAGTAAGACAAAAGCACATACATATGTACACCCTTTTTTAAAAAGTTAGCCTGGGCAGGGGGGTGGCGGCACACACCTTTAATCCCAGCACTGGGGAGGCAGAGGCAGGCGGATCTCTGTGAGTTTGAGGCCAGTCTGGTCACAAAGCTACAGAGAAACCCTGTCTCAAAAAACAAAAACAAACAAATAAAATAGCAAGAGGCATTAAACACAATCTGTTAATTTGAAAACAAAAGAGTTACATGTTTTGTGAAATACTAATAACCAAGAGGTCAAAACATGTTATCAGCCTTTTCCTTAAAATGGAATAAAATGTAAGACTCAAAGAACTAAATGCCACACTTGAAATGTGAAGCTACTTAATTACTATGTATTCTTTCTTTAAATACCTAAATGTCCTATCTTGGTTAATATTCTGTAACAAAGTTATACATCAGAGAACCTGATGAAAAACATTAGAACAGCACGTGTTTTGTCCAACAGGTTTATCTTTTAGCTTTCCTAATGTAAGTTCTCTATACCTAAATTAATTTTTTTTGACTGAGGACCAACAAGAAAAGAATTTTAAAATGCCAGCAATACACTTTGGGGAAAAGACAAAAAATTTTCATCATTGATTTTGCTTCAGTTTGCTTTCCCCCTGGCTTGTTTATACATATAGTGCACATACATCAATATACACACATCCATACCCACACATAAATGAGGCTTTCTTACCATGCATAGCATGTTTGGGGCCTGAGAAGAGTTTAACCAAGGCCCAGAAAGCATCTTCCTCGTTCATGTACATGAGGAGTAGGGCCGTTATCTGGCTCATCCCTTGACAGTACCCGACTTCCTAATGAGAAATGAAAACAGAAACTGGGGGCTTTAAAATCAAATTCCATGAACACACACAAGAGAAAGGTTAATCTATAAAATAGCAGGAAATGCCTAGATACACTACAGGGCAATTCTAGAGATAATTGTTGCAATATCTACAGCATCACGGTATATACTACACTAGAATAAAACTGAGCTCAAGAGTAAACAGGTGTGGGGAAAGCCTCAAGCTACATTTTAAAAGCTGTTTTTCATATGATACTGTAATACAGTCTCTAGAGAGTGCCAATATTCATTTTATTGAGTATATGGTTCTCAGATACTGGCAAATTGTTCCCAAAATCTCAGTTTCATGTCTTGTCATCCCTGTGTTTCTGAAGCTGTAAGGTTTAGTTTTAGTCTAACCCTCCCAGACCTTCCACAGGTGAAGGATGATACTGCAACAGAATCTGCCAGGAGTAATGTAGAGTCAGCAGACCACCGCTCCCTTTCCTACCCTGTCGTGCCTATTCGTACGTGCTTAAAAAGGAAACCAAAGTTAACAATAACGTCATGAAACAAAACAATCTGGAGGGAGAGGAAAAGTGAGGCTCACATGTATCTTGTTGTCATATCTAGGATTTCCTGCTTCCAAATCAGCTCTAAGGCCCTTGGATCAACATGGGAGCTTTAAAAACACCAGAGCTAATGGGGACTGTGTACACCATGAAGAACTGGCCTACAAGTGCCATGTTCCTCAGAATGGAATTCAAAGAACTAGGTAGGTATGCCCCAACTTACCGTATTATAGATAGAATATGCCGCAAGAACATGGAATAAAGATTGTTGCCTAGAGAATTAAAAATTTATATTAAACATAATTTACTTAATTTTAAAATAATTTAATTTTTAAAATCACAAACTTAAAAAGCAGTATGACTAAAAACAAAGACAATTCAGATAAAGTTTCTATTGTAGTTTTTTTTAACACCCTAAGCTTAAATTGAACCAGAATTCTCAACAGTTTAAATTTGAGGTTACATTATCACATATTCAGACAGACTTCATATGAAAAGTACCATGACTTCGCTGAATTTCTTAAGTCCATTTCCTTCTTTCATTCAACTCTTTTACTCTGAAGCTACTGGCGAAACAGCCTGTGATGGCCTTTTGAAGACTCTTATAGCAGCAGCTAAGCAGGAAGTGACATCCTGGGATATCTCCCCCCAGGAAGCTCAAGAGCCCCATTCACCCTAAGAGTAGGCGAGTGGAGGGAGCAGAGCTGCACTCTCTACATTCCCAACTCACCACTGCCGTCTGTGCCACTTCAGTCTTTGCTACTCAGAGATCTCACTTCTAACAGAACTGGCCTGGTGGTGCACAGTTGCAATCCTAGGGGCTAAGGCAGGAGGGTCACGAGTTCTAAGCCATCCTGCTAAATAGTGAAGCCCTGTCCCCCAAAAACAAAGCAGAAAAGAGGAATGAGCCTGTAGGGAGACAACAATGATTCCATCAAGCTTCAGGTAAAACCGCCACCCCACTGCTTTGGGTTCCCTTATGTCACTTTTGGGCTCACAAGGCAGAAAGGTGACTGACTACATGGGTCAGGGTGACTTGATCCTGATTACTACAAGAGAAGTTGATGCTACTACCTAAAGGACACAAAGAAACCACATCTGAAATAAAGGAGACCATTTGGGGAACTTCTTAGTATGTACTAAGTACATACAAAGAGTATAGGTGTAAAGAAAACTATAGCACCATATTTTAGGGAGACTGCTAATGGTCCAGTTTTTTCAGGATTAAAGCCCTAAGACCTGTGACACAGCTGAGGTACTTGCTGAGTGACTGGCAATGGAAAATGTATGTATTTATAAATACCATGACACGTGGCCAGCCATAGGGATGACTGTATTAATTACTAGCACTTTCCTTGTATATTTTGGTATGAATGTCTATATATTTTCTTTCTCTTTGCATCTTACATTAGAAGTACTAAAAGGTACCTCTATAGTACAGTATTTAAGCATGACTACCAGCAAAGGACTTGGAATCCACTTGGAGAAAAGGATTAATATGTCTTCAGCTATAAGCAACATTGTTGCATCATGCTAGAGAGATATATGATATGAGCACCAAGTTGACAAGCTTCAATGGCCAGCTATAACAGCAGTGAGGTTACAATTCCCTCACTATTCAAGTACTGACTGACCTGGGCGCTGCTGTCAAGTGTTTTACAGATGTGATTAAATCCATTGTCTGTTGGATTTGAGTTGGAGAAATTATTAGAGGCAATCCAAACAGACAGAACCATGTGCTTGTAGCCTGCCCTCCTGGTCAAGCCAGTCCTAATACAGATCTCCTACAGTTTCTGTTTTGCTGGTTAATTCTAAATGATACAGAGGTTGGCACAACAGTGTCTTTTCATTCACATACTGACACAGTGATGGCCACCTGCAGTAAGGATGAATGCTCTATCCTACTCCATATATTAGCTTCTCATTTAATTCATTTTCTCTCTTTTAAGTTCCATTTATTCATGAGGTCATAGTTTTCAAACACATAAAAGCTTTCACGTCTATAAATGGCCTCAAATCTGTAATCCTCCTGCCTTAGCCTCCCTAGTACCCACAAAATATTTTTAAGAATTTTAAAATAAAAAAATAATCTCTTACCAATTTTACAGCCTGTACTATGCCAATGTTTTAAAATGTTAAATTAAGTTAGACCCCCCCCTTTCAGTCAACATGACTCAAACGATCTGCAAAAAAAACTTTAGGATCTAAATAAAGATTATGGTTCATCAAACAAAACATTCTAAAAGTATAGTTTACCTTAAAGACTCCAATAAAGACCATTTACACATGCTATTCATATTTATAATATTAAACTTTACTTACTTCACACCGTATCTGTCTCTAAACATAATGTGGTCCCTAAATGTGCGGTTCACATCAAGGTCTATTTGTCTGATATCAGGTGAACAACCCCGTGCTATGTGTTTTAATTTCTGAAGAAGAAAAAAAAAGAAGAAAACACATTTTTATGAAATCCAATTGCTGGAAGCCTATGATAAATATAAAAATGATCATTAAAATATTTTATGTATGTATGTGTGTATGTATCAGCAGAAGGTAGGGCTAGGAAAATAATTCCCCTTGTTTAAAGAAGATCTAGGCAATACAAAAAGATACAAAGAAAACTTTCCATCCCTCCATGCCTCCATCTACTCTGCTCATGGCCCTTTCCCTCCCTTGCTTTCTTTTCCATGGTATCAACAGTGAGGTTTAGGTCAGGAAACGCCTGAGATTTGTAGGACTAAGATGGCTGAGTGATGCACTCTACGAGCAATTCTTTTTCTCTCTGGCTCAATTTTTTCTTTCCTTGGAATGAGTGGCTGCTTCTTGACTTGCTTCACTTTCTATTATCCTTGTAGGAAATACATTCAACACCAAGTCTGAAGCATGTTGTAGAATTCCAAGTACATCCTAGCAAACAGTGACCAGTTTCTTCTCTTTGCATCTTTTGGATTTTTTGGGACAGGGTCTCACTATGGAGCCATAGCTGGCTCCCAAGCGCTGGGATTAAAGGCATGCACTACCGAGCCAGCCAGTTCTAGTGGCCACCTTCTTAAACTTTCTCCCAAAGCAGCCAGCCCGCGTTTCTGCTTGTGTGGCTTGTCCTCGGGGCTACTGCCTCTGGTGTTGGTGCTCCCTCCACCATCTACTGACGCTTCCTTAGCTTTGCTTTGAGCTTGCATCCCCGATTCCTGGCTCTTGGTTTATGGACTGCATTCTCCAATTCTGTGAATGGGCACCACAGAAGGTAAAGGGTTGGAAACCTTTAATATCTGGTGACTTACTCTTTCAAATGGATGTAGAAGCTGCTCAAGAATTCTAAATTAGAAGTACTGTTGCTCAAAAGGCACTGTTTTACCATTTTCTGGCTTCATGTGCTGCCACTGGAATTCTTACTCTTTATGTAAAGTCTTTTCTGGAAGTTGGTGGTACACTGTTTGGAAGTTACCCATTTCTTCCTTGTTTTGGATCTATTTTCAACCACAGACTTAGGCACTTTCAATCTCACAAACTCATACATTTCTCATCTCTGCACAACTGTCTTTAATAATTCCAGATTCCCCTGTCGATTCCCACTTACTCCCCTGCCATGATCCCATCTTCTTTCTGGAGCTTGGTTATTACAGTGTGGGAATCTCCTAAGAAATCAGCTCGTTTTCTTTTTTCTTTATTAGTGCTCATATCTATGCCTTTAAATTTTGTTTTCTGAAAATTTTCAATTGTTATTTTCAACTAAGTTTTTCATTTCTATCTTTTATATAGGTCTTTGTTGTTACAGAATGCTCCTTTTTATAGCTTCCTATACTTGTTTTATGGATGCAATATCAATTTCATTTCTCTGAAGACATTAACAACAATCCTTTAGGTTCTCTTCTTATTCTATGGTCTGTTTCTTACAAGTGTATTTTTCCGCTTCTTTTGTTTCCAACTTAAGTCCCTTTCCTCAAATGACTATTAATATTTTGTTATCTGTTTTTGCTTGAAAGTAAGGCATTAAACAAAGCTGTGTGCCCAAATGGGGCTTCACAGCAGTGAGCAGTGATGTCATGCAGAGTGGGGTGCAGCAGTGGGCAGTGATGTCATGCAGAGTGGGGTGCAGCAGTGGGCAGTGATGTCATGCAGAGTGGGGTGCAGCACAGCAGTGATGTCATGCAGAGTGGGGTGCAGCACAGCAGTGATGTCATGCAGAGTGGGGTGCAGCACAGCAGTGGGCAGTGATGTCATGCAGAGTGGGGTGCAGCACAGCAGTGGGCAGTGATGTCATGCAGAGTAGGGTGCAGCAGTGGGCAGTGACGCCATGCAGAGTGAGTGAAGCACAGCAGTGGGCAGTGACGTCATGCAGAGTGGGGTGCAGCCAAGGGCAGCTGCAGTTCAGCCACTAGAACCTAGGTCTTTCTTTGGTCTTATTCTCTTGTACTGGTCACATATCCCAGAGAATTTCTTCCCAACTCCTGTTGGGACCACAGGTACCTGATTGCTGGTGTTCTTAGGGAAAATTAATTGTCCAAAATTTGGGGTATTATATTCCCCTTCCCAGCCAGGACAGCCACTGCTTCACCTTCTCTCAATAAGAAACCTAAGTCCTAGGCCTGTGCTAGAGGAGACTTGGAACTTGCTCCAACTGCTTCTCCCACAGACTTTCAGCCACTTCAGTGTTCAGTTACACTTTTCCTTCCAGAGGTACCTGCAGGTGCCATTACCAAGTCCTCTAGAGATTCATGACATAAATCATGTGGCTTCTCCAGTTTTCCACCGCCAGCACAGGATTTAGGTGCTTTGTTTACTCTGCCTGTCTGCACTCTGTGATCTAAACTGTGGCAGACATTACTTCTTCCATTTTCTTATTCCTTATAGTGTTGCCTTTTTTAAAACTCCGCTATCAATTTGGAGGCATTTCCATGGAAAGGGAGTTAAATTATGACTGTTTGCATCACCTGTGTCTAATCAGAAAGATGATTAAAATTTATAACAATTTGTACTTAGCTATGCTTAAGTATAAATAATTATCCATAGACACACATTCACACAGACTCATTTATCATATACTGGTAATACAGACAAACTAAAATCAACTCCAATAAATACACATGAAATATAGCTTTAACCCCTAAGTTAAGAAGGAAAAAGTGGAGTAAAGGCCATGTGGTTATGTCTAGAATAAGCATGGGCCTGACATGTATGCATGTACACGTTAAGTGTTTTTAGTCTGTTGTGAGGTGTGACCTTCTGCAGCTTTTTAAAACACAAGAATGGGCTGAGAAGTATGACCCAGTGGGATAACATTTTTCCAGTCTATGAGAGACCCTAAGCTTCATTCTCAGCACTACAAAGCACCCAAGAGAAAACACGAAGAATAACCACAGTATGTCCCAGAATTTAAGAGTACAAACAGTAACCTGTATATATTTAGTTTTTAAATATCTTTTATTGTTAAGGAAATGGTCAAATACAGAGGTTTCACTTATTCTAAAGGCCTCCTGGTATAAAAGCTGAGATGTCAAAACAGGAAGAAAATGTTTCAGACATGACAAAAAAAGTCTTAAAATAAAATTTAGGTGTAGCAAAAAAAGACCCAAACATATCTATAATGCTGGCTTTTCTCAAAGACATGAAAATCACAGCAAATACATTATGATGGTAGCAAAGACCAGGGAAGTAGGTAAAAATGAACAGAGCAGAAATGTTATTCATGTTTTCAAGGGTTTACAAGCTAATGCAAAAGATGCACTGAAACCAACACGGCAGGCACCCGCATGCGCGCACACACACACACACACACACACACACACACACACACACACACACACACACACACGGTTGAAGAGTGTCCCCCAAAGTTCATGTCTGTCCAGAACCAGTGCCTGTGGCCTTATTTGGAAACAGAGAGTTTGAAGACACCATTAAGCTCAGGTAAGGCCTTATGCACTACAAAAAACCTGAAATCCAATGGCTGGCGACCTTTTCAGGGAAGAGACACAGAGCCACATGTGACACGTGACACAGGAGGCAGAGGAGCTAAAGAGCTACAAGCCAAGGAACACCAACAATTGCAGGCAGCCACCAGAGGCTGGCAGAAGGCCAGGAAAGAGTCTTCCCTGCAGCCTTGAAGAGCAGCCAGGTCCTGCAGCAGCACTAACCCTGAACTCTATCCTCCAGAAGTGTGACAGAATAGATTGCTGTGGTTTTAATCACCCACAGTATACCTCTTAGCTCTAGCAGTCCTGGAAATGAATACAGATAAAAATACTGTATACTCTTGCTATTTTCTATGTTCATTCATTAGCCAGATATTTACTGAGCACAAACTGTATGCTGGGCACACTGTTCTAAGTGCTAGAGTTAAATTGTATGTATGTTCTCTCAGGCACACATCGCTTTGAACATGGGCTCTAAAACCTCCATGCTAATAACAGATATCTCATTAATAGCCTAAAATAATTTCAAACCCTGAAACACAAATTCACTGCCTGTGTGAAGTCCTGTATTCTCATAAAACTATTAACTCTTTAACTACTGCTTAATATCTTTCATTTGGCAAACTTTGATCTGAACTCACACATAGAAAAGAAAAATATCAAAAGACACTAACGTGACTTTTACAACTGGCTGGGTTGTTTCTTTATCCCCCATTTGTTCTATTGTAATTCATTCTATTTAAATACATTTTCTATGTATTTTTTACTTTACAATATATGTTTTACTTTAAAACCCATGGATCTAAGAATCTTAGATTTAAAGTTCTTATTCTTTCCAAAGGTTAACATAAACTTAGGTTTAGAAAGGGTATGGCTGAATGATAAAGGAGGTATATTTAATCATTATGCAAGTTAAGGAAAAAATTCATCACTCAGTCAAGTTTAACTTTTAATTCATATATAATAAAAAGAAGACAGGAAATTATCTTGGGAACAAACTTTCCCTCAGTCCTGCTGAGCAACCACATGTGGGCAGGTGTTGGATAGATAGATTCTGTATTTACTTACTCTGTAAACTCTAAACATGATGTAAATCTCCTTATTAGTAGTAAATGTGCCTCAGCACTAACGGATCACTGTCAGTGTCTAACAATGCTGGCTGATACAGACAACACTTGATCTAAATAAAATCTGAGTAAACTGGCACTAACAAAACAAAAACAGTAAGCATTGCAATCTCAATACAATTTCAAGTGATAGGAGAATATCATATCACCTTAAAAACAAAAAGAAATTATTTTGCACTTTAACTTCAAAGTCATAGTTAGTTTAACTACTCACACTATAAAGGTCTTTTGTTTCTTCTTTCATTTTAGGGATCTCAAGAAGAAGAGCCCAGACTTCACCTCGGAGCTGGAGTGGAATTCCTTTGTAAATTCGTCTATGAAACTGATTTAAAAGAGAAGGAAACAGGAAAAGATTACAAACTGACAAAAGCTTAGATAGTCCCTTCTACTGACCCACTGAATATGTCAGTTTTTTTCCAGATATACAGGACCATTAATTTATAAACTTTAATTAGTCAATACAATTAGTTTATGTCGCTTGTATTTTTTTTTAGATCCTAAAAGGGAAACATAATCACAGAAGGAAAAAACAAAAACTATCAAAAGAAAACAGGAAAACCAGAAATGTCGAGAACACTTGGTATATCGATACACTTGACTATTACAGAAGGGTCCCTTAGCATTCTGTGAGCAGAGCTAATGCTCTGAAGTAAACTGTGAACATCTTATTTACACACTTCCTTACTATACCCCAGCCTTCTCCACACAGCTAGAAGGTGATCCAAAGACCACTCATGAATGCAGAAAGCACTGTCTAACCTCTTTCCTAATACCATCTCCCTGTAGAACACACGGAGCTCTCTCTGTCTCAGACCTCAATTAGCTCAGCTGCCCACCTCACCCTTTGTCCCTTTTCTTAAATGGCACTAAACCTATCTGATCACACAAAACAGTTGGCAAATCTCCATCAAAGACAAAGACCTCTCCTTACTTCTTTCCCAGCTGTGTAGAGAATCAAGTCCAGTGCCTTGCACACGGCAGGCAAATGCTCTCAACTACTAAGCTTCTTCCCCAGCCCACAATTTGCTTTTCAGAAAAATTAGACATCTATGTAATCATTATCAACTTAGCTTCTTGAAATATGCATTGCAATTACCCTAAAGATCTTAAGACTCAACAGACTTCCCTGTCTCATAATTAGTACTTCAAAATAATATACAAATCCATTAAGTTCATTACAATGTGATACCACAATAACACTTTGAAATTTAAAAATTAATGTCCAAACCAAAAAAAAATGATTGATAAATTATGGCAGGAGTCCTTAAGGAAGGTTTGGAATTTTACTTATTTCATTAGACTTTACAACACTTGTATATACATAATGATGTATTTAGGAGATGAAACCCAAGTCTAAGCATTAAATTCTTTTGTTTCATCTACAATTTATACACATAAGCTGGATGTGTGTGTGTGTGTGTGTGTGTGTGTGTGTGTGCGCGCGCGTGTGGGTGCACATATATGTGCCTATTTTGTTGGGGTGCGCAGAAACACGTTATGCATGTGCATGCACAGACCAAATGATAACACAGGTACTGTTCACCTTCATCTCTTGAAATGGCCTCTACTGATCAAGTACTTGCCAATTGGGCTAGGCTAATGGACCAGCAAGCCCGAGGGATCCGCCTATCTAGCTATACCTCCCCCAAACTATGATTGTGAGCATGTGCTACCATACCCAGCACCTTAAGGTAATTTTATTCAGTATCTTCCGTATTTTGACTGTGATGTCACATAAGACCAAGCATGGAACTGTCTGTTTGTAACATCATGTAAGTGCAACACAATTTTGGATTCTAGAGTCCTTCCAATTTCAAAATTTCACATGAAGAATGCTCAGTCTATATTTTAACTTTATATCTAAGGGGGGAAAATCAAGTTGTCATGGTTAAATTAAGAGAAAAAAGTAGGAAAACTCCAGGAAGAAATCAAAATTCAATGGTCACCAGGCTATCCCAGGGCTTACTGTTAAAATGAGTGAAAAAGAAATACTGACATGTTGTCACTATCCTCATCCACAGTACCAACTAACCCTACCTCTCACTAAGCATTTACTCTATATAGGAAACTATTTTAAACTTGTTGCTATATATTTATGCCATTTAATTATACCAACAATTAAACTATACATGGAAAGTAAATCATAAAGAAGATCAATAACTTGCCCAATGACAAGCCGAAAAAGTTACCATTATTTAAAAGGAGAATCCAGTAAGTATTTGCAGCATAAATCAGGAGGACTAAGTTCAAATTCTCAGCCCCTATGTAAAAGCCCAGTGCAGCAATATGTGTCTATAATCCCAGTGCTGGGGAAGGAGACAGGAGAATCCCTAGCGGCTGTTGGCTAACCACTATAGCTAAATTGATAAGCTAGAGACCACTGGTGGTGAGCCTGTAACAAAAATAAGGTGAGGGCTGGGGCTGGGGCTCAGTGGTAGAGTGCTTGCCCAGTACAAGCAAAACAAATGACAGTACCAAAAAAAAAAAAAAAAAAGAAAGAAAGCCCTTGACTGGAGGGTACCTTGACAATGGAAAGGTGGCTCTGTGGGAAACAGCACTTGATGTGTAAACAAGAGGACCAAGATTCAACTCTCTAGTACCCATGTTAAAAAAAAAATCTGTGCATGATTGTGCTAAGGGTATGGTAACAGGCTGGGTATTACTGTAAGGGGAAGCTCACTGTTAGCCAGCGTAGCTGAAATGGTCAATTCCAGGTTCTGTGAGAGATCATGCTTAAGAGACTAAGACAGAGAGTCACAGAGCAAAGCACCAGAGTCCTGATCTAACACCCCCAGCACATACATGCACATACTCATGTACAACATGCCCACTACACACATGCACAACGGTCTCAGGAGACTGAGGAAGGTACCTGGTATCAACCTCTGTCCTTTCCTACAAGCATACCCACACACATGTGTAAGCAGACATACATAAATAAATAAATATTACAGATTTTACATTTCTTAAGAACAAGGGTCATCCTTCTGTGACCACACATATTGTTTTGTCAGCCAGTTATTAAAATATATGGAAAAGTGACAGAAAAATGTTCTAAAATTCAAGAGTAGATAACATTAAAACATTGATAATGTAACTGAACTTAAAAGGAATATAAAAGTGATTATCTCTGGCATCCAACCAAATTTGCAAACTAAAAATAAGATTTTTTTAAATTACACTTATTGATTTTCACATACACTTTAGCCCTCCAAACTCATGGTTCTATAACTCTAGACTTAATCACAAGTCAAAATTATTCAGGAAAAAACTGTTTTACATATGCCTCAAACTGCTTTCTTGTCAGTGCTATTTAGTAAACAGTCACACCACATGTACACTTAGCCTGGAGAGGGAAAAAGCTGGGCATTGGCTACTCACAAACACTGTACCATTTGATATGAAAGACTCGTGCATCTGTGGACTCTGGAACCACAAGGGTCCTGGAAAAAAAGCCCTCAGATGCTGAGAGGTAACCATGCTTGACCTCTTATATAACTGACTTGCTATGGCTACACATTTTTCCTTTCATCTTGTCAATTATCACAGAAGTTTTAGAAATTTTGAAAAGCATTAGGCTATACATAAAAGTACAGTTTATTGACCAGCCCATAGTGCAGTTTCTTATCTGTTGATCTTTCCATCAGCACAGCATTACTATCTATTTCTATGACAACCCTGGGATGCCTGTGATGTAAGCATACATCTCACACCTACATGGAAGCTAACAAACAAAGCCCCATCCCAGGAGGTAGGCTGCCACTGTGTGAACACTGGCAACATGACCCTCACAGAAGCTTGCATGAAAGCTAGTTCTAAAACTCCAAATATTCTCTGCTAGAGTCATGTTTGTATTTCAAGACATTGAGTCTTTCTGCATTATTACTATATAAGCAGGGACTCTGAAGAGAAAACATTCCTCCCTCCCTTTGGATGAAACAGAAATACAATGTTACCTTTTTACATCAGTGTAATTTAAAACAAGACTTGAATTGTAGGTGGTAATTCTTTTAGAAGGTACACTCTGTTTCACACCAAATTGGACCATATATATCATCAAATGATTCTACACTATAGTTAGGGCAGAGTGCTTTAAAATTATACATCAAAGAAATAGTTCTGCTAAAACCCCTCTTAATGGGAGCTGCATTAGCTGGAGTTGCTGTCACAGTAATAGCCTCACAGAAGTACTCATCTTTACAGAGACTTCCTTACTTCAACAGATACATGTATACCAGAGAAGAATAAAGCCATATAATTCTACAGATACTTTATTAGACTGAATGTGAAACTAAAGTGTAGGTGCAATGCTTCGAAATTCATCCTGTCATCATCGCTTGAGCGATCTTTCCACAGAGGAAAGGGGCTGTCAACTGCAAGCTGATCTGAGGGTACGGTGCTATTAAACAAGAGCACAGAGCTGCACCTAATTTCCCACTTTGAAGTGATTCCTTATAAAGATATCTCGAGTTCTAAACCCAGTGCTAAAACAAAGACCCAACAACACAAAATAAACTCACTTCAGCATAAAACAAAATAGTAAGAACTTAACTTTAAAATAAGGTTATTTGGGATGCTCACAAAGAAGAAACAATGGCATTAGCTCTGTGGGATACCCCATAACCAAGAGATCTCCACAGTGAGCAAGCTTCCTATAATAGCAGGTCACAGTCCACATCAACAACTGTAGAATCCTATAATACAAAAACCTTACTTGATTTTGCTTAGCTTTTTCCCAACACCATGAAACAGCCTCTCCTGGGCTAACAAGCAGCACTTCCTAGGCTGTGCTAAGGTAGTTTGTTTAAACGTCAACAGCACCTCTAAAAGCAGGCACTACAAGTGACAAGCTGGAGTTTAAACCAAGACTATCCCATCTAGCTTTAAGGAACTGATGCTCGACAGAATTCTTATGCCGATGTACAATAATTTGTATTTATACAAGGATGTATATGGGAAAAGTATAAAGAAATACAGGCCAGTGGGACAGCTCAACAGGTAACGGTGCTGCAGCCAAGCCTGAAAAAACCTACATTCAAAATCCAGAGCCTACATATGGCAAAAGAAAATTGACTTTTGAAAGTTGTCTTCTGACCTCCAAATGCACATTGTAACACACATGAACCCACATACATACACACACTAAATACATGTAATTTTAAAAATTTAAAGAGTATGGTAATAGAAGGGAAAAAAAAGACTACTTTAGCTTAGCTGTGTTTTGCTATCGGATGTTCTCCACTTTAAAAACTGTGCACAGGGCCCAGGCGTTGGTGGCGCACACCTTTAATCCCAGCACTCTGGAGACAGAGGTAGGCGGATCTCTGTGAGTCCGAGATGAGCCTGGCCTACAAAAGCTAGTTCCAGGACAGCCTACAAAACCACAGAGAAACCCTATGTCAAAAACAACAACAACAAGAACAAAAACAAAACTGTGCACAGGTAGCCAACATTTACTGGGTGTTGTCTGTAGGCCAGGCTGATGCTAATTTCCCTGTGTTAGCCCAGCAGACCCCCATCCCTTTAAAATGAGCACTACTACATTCTAGAGGAACTGCGGTGAGGTATCAGGGGTTTGCAAGCACCAGACCAAAACCATTTTCAAAATATGAACACAATGTCTCTTTCCATTTTCACTAAGACTTTTGCACTGATGGGAGAAAGTGACAGAGATAAAGTTACTACTACTGGGCACAAACCAAGTCAACAACAGTACAATCTGGAATACTGGAAGTTCAGTTTCACGTAGGAAGTTCCAGATATAGCATAGAAAGCACTAATTGAATTAACTCTTAAATTCTTGGGCATAGGTTGCAGTGATATGCTGACCAATGAAGCTGGAAGTCCTTCTGGAGCTTGTACCACTCAAATATCATGGTTACCACAGAAAAGTACTTCTAAAGATGTTTGAATGACAATGTACACCAACTGCTTGATCTCACAGAATGCCATTATACTTGAAAGAACAACTAACTGGCTGCAGTTCTATGGCTGTTCAGATTTGGGACCATACTTAGCAGGCATTTTATTACAACAAATATACTGAGGCTCTGACCTGAAGGAAAACTGTTGGCACTGTGTCGTACTGATAACATTCGGCCTTTCAAGCAAAATTTAAACTTTGAAAAGCATGTTATAGCACTCCTATGGCCGTCTGAGGACAATTTATTTATATGGGTTTTGGGGATCAAATGCTAGTCATCAGGTTTGCACAAGCACCTTTACCTGCTGAGCCATTTCAACAGTCAAGGACTGAGAGTGACCTTAGGGGACTCGAGTTTAAAACTTAGCATGGACTCAAGGCAGAGCAGCTTGAGAAGGAGCTTTTGGGAAGGAGATTGTTCTAGGAAAGTGTTCAGAGGCAAGCTCCCTCTTTTACTGAGCAATGTGGTATGGATGTGAATCCTGGAACTACGGCAGTGATTCTGACCACAAAGGGAAGCCAGAGGGGAGGCAAAAGAAACAGAGCAGTTAAACCCAATTACACTCGACCTCTGGACACCCAGCACAGCTCTGACTATTGGAACCACTCTGATCTGAGGATTCCATTATTTCCAACATGAAGATTTCTAAGACAAAACATTCTGCCTCGTTAAACTAAAATTTCAAAAATGAATATGAATGCAAACATTGGAATAACTGAAGGAAAACGGTTATGAAAATCCACAATGAATTTAAATAGCTTCAAATGGAAATAATATTATTTTAAATTACCTTCTCAGTGTTCTTATATTTTTCCCATCCTTTCAGCATTTTCAGCCATTTGGTAGTTCTTTCAATTTCCAGTTGCTTTTGCTAAAATAAAATTCAAACATAACATTAGTGTTTGTTTGACACTCTTTACTTATAAATCACGACATAACAAAAGCAGAGAAAATGCTTTTTGAGGTTATACTACTCCAGAGAGCAAATGCCCTACCTAACTTGCTTGTAAGTGGGATAATGTCATACTAGCATCAACAGCAGCCAAAATGAAGTTAGGGAGCATACGTACTGTACACTTGATGTGAGTAAGAAGATAGCAAAGGGCTTGTCTGTCGTTTCTAATGCTTTAAAGACAATCACAGAAAATCCTGTGTATACTAAAAAAGTTTTTAAAAGGAAAATTTGAAGCATTTTGCAAAGCAACAAAAAAACAACTACAAGCTTCAATTATATTTTATTTAACTCTACTCAATTCTAGCTCATTCATGTTTTTGATGACTAAGTCCATTTTTTTTAAGAATTCAATTTAGTTACTGTGTGATTAACATATAACTAGCTCCATGCTAGAGAAATAATAAACAACAATGAGTCACAACGCTGTAGAAGGGTTTCTGGCCTGATATAAGGCTAGTGGTAATGTCACATGGAAAAAGTTATCAAAGACCCTACACGAAGAGCTGAAAGATTATTATGGGATTTATCTGGTGTGATGTGGGATATGTATGTTTCTGATACCATTCAGCACCCTACAGAGCTGACAGAAGTTCCAAAGAGCTTTAGGAAGGAAACAGCCACCATAGTGAACTAAGAGTCTTGTGTATGAAGCCTGAGATCTGCAGCAGAGCTGAGCACTGAAACAAGTTAACACAGAAAAGGCTTCGTTCCTCTCTTTTAGGGTTTCTAGGAGAAGAAATACTTTTCCAAGTATTTAGGCCTGAGAGCATAATAAATGTGTGATAACAAGCAATGAAAAGAGAAAACTACCCAAGAAAGGCAACAGTTCTGCAGGTTCATCCTGTACTCCAAGGATGTATGCTCCCTCTGGTCTCCTGAGGCAGGTCTGCCACTAAGGAGGCAGATACAAAGTGCTTAAGGGACAAGTCTAGCAAGGGCAGAGGCATTCAGAGCAGACAAGGGCTTTTCTTGTGCCCTCTAGTCACCTCTCCTCTGTTTTCAGCTGCCATCCTGTCTTCCTTCTAACACAGGCAATCATACTTCCTGGATGAAAATTATGGCTCCTTACTGACTGGCTTCACTCCAGCCTCCAACAGGCAGGCAGTATGCTGGCAGATGGCACACACCCACCACCAATAATTTTAGATCTAAAAGCATAAATCCCCAAGGAAAATCCTGAATTTAAGAAACTATCCTCAGCAATAAGAAATTTTTTATAGAATTTACCTTCAGGTATATTTGTAAAACTCTGTAATTACTTTCTAACTTTTTAAAGTTTTTTATGAATTTTTATAATAAAAGATGATCACTTGTGAGCAAAAGAACGTTAATTCTCATTTTTCAAAAGACTAAACACAGTCTTTATTATATTATTAGTGATAAAATGATGCAGATGGTTCAAGAAATATGTTTCATTTTAAAACTCAGCGGGGCACTGAAATCTAATTAATGTTTCTCTAAATGAGACTTTAGAGAAGGCCAAACTGAAGAAGGAGACCCTGGTCTCAGCTGCCATTTCCACACTTCCTCCTTTGACTTCTTAAAGCACAACGGCCTTTTCCATCGACATGAAAACCCCCAGATACTCCAAGTCAGCACAAGAGCACCACACACATAGCCCACTCATAGAATCTCCTGATAGCTTTCACTTTTATTTCTATGAATTACCAATTAATCACTTCTGGGAATAGTCATTCTTTTTTTTCAAAGATATACTTTCATATATTAATGTTTGTTATATATTAGAGTGGTTTAAATGCTCTGCATCCTGCAAGAACAAAACATACATACACATAACATTTTAAGAACCATTAAACATGTTTTTCTTTCTTCTATACATACTAAAAAAAAAACTGTGCCTTGGATAATCTCCTAGTGAAAGAGTTTAGACTTAGATATTAGTTAAGCTTAAGTGCTGACTCCACAATACTATGATTTCACAACCCCAGACTTGAATGCATGCAGTCTCCCTGTCCAGTCCAGTCAGTAATTCACGGTTAAAACCTACTTTCTTACCAAGTGCTGAAGCTGACTGTTCTAACAACTATTTTGAAGAAGTAACTGAAACCACACATTACACCTGTGAACTTAAGAGTCCTAGAAAACAGGCTAGAGCACCAATAAGTCACAGATTCATTCATCTACATCAAAATAAAAGTAGACTACGACAGTATGTCAGGATTTCTACCTGAGATTTTAACAGACACTTTCAACTCAAATCTGTTGTCTTGAACTGCTGGCCGTTCCCAACACATAATCTACTGCCATGCCTCTCTAACCAAGGTCTGCCCTTTGTCTGCTAGCGGTGCTTTTTCCTCACCACTTGTGATGACTCATGCTTACTGCCAACTTGACAGGATGGGAGACAACACTCTGAGTTTCTAAATTGAGTTAACTTGAGGCTGGCTGGGGTCTGAACCTGAATAAGAGGAGAAAATGATCTGAGACCCAGGACTCATCTGTTTTCCTGTGACTGCCTTGTGACAAGATGTTTACACTTCTGCCACCATGACTTCCCTGCCGGGATGGACTGCACCTCAAACTGCTACAACAAGCCTTTCCTTAGTTCTTTTTGTCAGATATTTTGTGAAAGCAATGAGAAAAGTAACTATGATGGGGGAAGTCCTGTACATTTGTCAATAAAGTACTGTTGAGCCAATAGGAATCTAGATAGGTGAGACTAGGAATCCAGGAGGATTCTGGGAAGGAGAAACACAGGGAATTCAAGATGTAACCGCCATGGGGTAGGAAGCCCGGAACGTCTCCGGTAAGAGAAATACATAGATTAACAATTATGGGGTAATTACTTAAGTCAGAGCTAGCCAGTAAGAAACAAGCAAGGCCAACAGCTTCATAATTAATACAGCGTCTTGTGTGTTATTTGGGTACTACAACGTGGCAGAGCCCAGGCGACTGGCGGGTGATAAACCAAAGCGGCTAACAAGGAAAAAGCTTCTCTTTACATAACTATACATCATTCATTTGGCAGTTCAAATGTCCAAGGTCTAAAGCCTCTCTGAAATGCCTCCATGTTCAAGCTATTCCCTCAGATTTCATGGCATGGAGCAAGGCCCAGTATAATCAGAGTTCTGCCTCCTCCTGTCTGTTTCCCTCAGTTCTCCGTTCTACAGAATGGGAACTATTACACTCAACACATTTACTCCAGCTGCTTAAGTGCTCAAATCACATTGTTATTATTAAACTGCTTGACCATGGAGACCAAAGCATATGTCTACTTTTTAATTTCATTATCTAAAACAATAGTTGTATAAGAGTTTAAAATTATATATATATATATATATACTATATATATATAGTAACATATATATAGTAACAGTTTATAACACGCAGGGCACAGGCAGCAATGTGAAATAATTAGTAATGCCCTGTGGCTTCCAAGTAGAGTGGAAAGAGTATGAATACAAACTGTTGCCTCAGGTAGGAGCTTCACCATATAATACAGAAAGAACCATAAGAAATTATAACAGATAACCCCATGTGACACTATGGTAGGAAGAATGTCATACTACATGTTGACAGATAGTTTCCAAAGTGTGACAAAAAGCACAACTGTTGGTGTGTGTGAGAAGCTTACACAGCATGGATTCTGTTGGCTTACTTTTCTTAATTTTCATTTGGAAATATTTCAAACCTATATGAACTAAAAGAAAAACCACATCATATGTTTCCATGTGCTTCATGGAAATCTAACAAGTATTAATCTTTTGACAGATTTCACTTATTTCTTTGGGGAGGGATTGTGACAAATCCACTAGAAAATCACAGACATGAGTACATCATATCTAAATATTTTATATGTAAATATTTCCAAGGATGCAGTCATTTAAGAACACAAAAATGTTTTGTTTTGTTTTTTATTTTTCTCCAAGACAGGGTTTCTCTGTGAAACAGCCCTAGCTGTCCTGGAACTGACTCCAGACTGATCGCAAATTCTCAGAGATCCACCTGCCTCCGCTTCTCAAGTACTGGGATTAAAGGTATACGTCCCTACCACCTGGCAGAACAAAATCCTAATCACTACACCATTCTTGTATCTAAGAAATTTCAAATTCAATCATTATCATCTCATAGTCCATACATTAAATTTTCTATTGGTCTCCCAAATGTGTGTGTGTGTGTGTGTGTGTGCATGTATGTAACCTGGGACTGAACCCAGGCTTCACACACTGACTATAGCTCTGTCATAACACCTCCATTACTATCCCTCGGCTATGGGGCTTCGACAGCTTCCAGGTTGGTGATCACCTGACATTCTCGGTATGATCTCTTTTGTACTCTCAGAGGGTAGGAAAGCTCTGTACTTCTGTTCCTAACTCCATACATATTCCATTCGGCCATTCCTGAGAGGATTGTCTTTTAGTAAATAGGTCTAGTAAGCACAGCACTTAACGTTCCATGAGCTTCTCTAGCAAACCCAAACAGCAGGTCACGTGAGCCTGATTTGTACACCACAGGTTAAAATCATCTGGGCTCTCAATCTGCATTAACATGGGAGCAGTCTGATGAGAACTGAGCTGCAGGTCTGTAACAACTCTCCACTGGAGGAACTGCTTATCCATGGAGAGAAACTCAAAACATATGAGGTGCTCTATAAAATGTAAATGATGAGACTAGAACAAGTTTGGTTTTTACCAATGTCACACAATAGGGACATGTGAGTAAAGTTGCTGAGAGTCACCCATGCCTAGATCTCACCAGCAGAGGTCAGGAGAGGATAGGGAGTACAGGACACCTTGCCATTGGAAAGTACAGTCACTTATTAAAACTTGATGCTATGCAAAATAAAGGTTTTAGAAGAAATAAAAGGGGACCTGGCAAGATGGTTCAGGGGTAAGCCACTTGCCTACCACGGAGCCTAGAACTTGAGCTCGATCTTTGGAATTCACATGGTGGCTGCACAGACTCAGCAGCCAAAAGTTGTCCTCTCACCTATACATTCCCACAGTGGCACACATGCACATATGCATACAGGTGCACATACAATAAATAAAACAAAATTTAAAAATAAAAGGCTCTCATAGTTTATATATTATACAGAATACTGCACTGCATTTCGGGGCTTTATCTATGAAAATTCATAGTTTTATAAAACCTTTCCTCCTTATTAAAAACATCAATAAACTCAAAGAAATAATATAATCCATTATTAATATTGTTCTCTACAGAGTAAGTATAATGAGTATATTTGTTTAAGTGCCTGTTTGGTGGGACCCAAATCATTTTGCAAACACCACATTAATCCTCTTTTAAATGGAGAATGGCCTCCAGTAATATAACACATGGCAGAGCTAGAACTGAAGCCATGATTACTTGACCAAACAGACAGCAATACAACAGTACTAAGCACCAAGAAGTACAGCTTCAGCTGCAAGCTTTACAGAGTGTAGACGTCAGCAAGCCAATCATTGAATTGAAAAAATAGATAAATTTTTATTACGTGTCTACAAAAATAGAGCTTGGCCACTACACATAGGCAGATGCTACAGAATGCTCACTTCTAACCCTGGACAACTTTGCATGTGTTCAAGCTTTACTAATATACCATATATTGGTTATTATATTACATAATATGTTATTACATATATATAAAGCAGGCCATGGCCTGGTAAAATAACAGGAAGGGTCAGAGCCACCTGCTGCCAAGCCTGACAACCAGAGTTGAATTCCTAGTATCCACCTGGTGGAAGGAGAGAACCAACTTCCACATGTGTGCTATGACTACACACACAAATGTGTATGCACACATATGCAAACATGCATACAGGCACGGGTGTATTCACAACAAATAAACGCAGAAAAAGCAGGTCATAAGATAAACAAGTAAAATGTGTAAAAGGGCTCTAAGGAAGAAACTACCTCAACAAACTACCTCAGAACCCTCTTACCCCAGGACAGGGCAGACAAATAAATGTACAAGTATGTTCTCATTTTAATAGTTTTTGAAACAATAGTAGGGAGGATTTCACAGTGTGCCCCTGGTGGCCTGGAACTCTGAAAACCAGACTAGTCTCAAACTATAGAGCTCTACCTGTCTCTGCCTCCTGAGTGCTAAGATTAAAGACATGTACCACCATGCTTGAAATTTTAAATAAATCATTAAGGCACACACAGATTGCTTTTTAGTGATTCCCTATTAAGACTTTAAATGAGAAGTTAATTAGAGACATACTTGTATTGGGTTAAGAGTCTTATTATACAGCTCAGTCTTATAAAAAATTAAACAAACTTAATTTTAAGTATGTACCCTCCACTAACTTGCCTTACATTTCTTCTTTACTGGCACATTTTTTGACTTATCTAATTACTGGCTTGAACTCTAAGATTTCTCGACCAAAAATTACAAATAGTGAAAGAGGAGATGGAAAAAGAAGTCTATACTGGATTAATATGTTTATTTTGCCAAATCAACCTAGCCTATGTTTAAAAACAAACAACAATTTCAATTCTTTTCTCCCTTATCTTTCAAGGTCAGGTCACTGCAACATCTGCAGACTCTCCAGCAGCTTTTAGTCAATATATTTAATGTTATAAAGGCGGTATGTGACTCATATAGATTACAACCCAGTGGAAGAAACAAAGTAAGAAATTTTCAAAATATCTAACACATAAATTGTGTCACATACAATACAGATTAAAAACAAAGAAGATAATTAACATCAGGGGGAGAAATTCCCAATTTTAGATTAGATGACCATGAACAGTCATATTCTCTAAGTGACACTAGAGTAAATTCTTGAAGGAACTAAAAAGGCTGAGCCTTGCAGCTACTGTGAGGACAGTGAAACACCCCACAAGAGGAAGACGCCAGAGGGAAAGCCTTGAAGAGGAACTATGGCCCAGCCACAAGTTCAGGAAACACTAGGGAGCCAGCAGCTGAAGGAAAGAAGGGAGCGCAAAGAATGAGGCCCTGCTACACCTTGAGGATCATTCTTAACACTGCGCTACTGTGGATGGACAGGGAAGATACGGTGAGGTTCCGACTGGAAAGGGGCATGATTTTAACTCATCTTACCAGCATCCTTCTAACTGTGTCAAGAGCTAAGACTGTGAGAGAAAGGGCAAGGACTGGGGTAGGAAGACTAGAAGCCCCAAAAGAAAAGGTACAGTGGACCTGGGCAGCACAAGAGGAGTGAAGTCAACAAATTCTGAACAGACCTGGGTGGCAGAGCTCACAGCATTGGCTGAGAGATGAGACGGGGGTCTGAGAGACATCAAGGAGTGTGGAAGAAGGAGCACTGGCTCACTGTGATGGGCACATTAGTCTACAAGGCAGATCTGAGGACCAGTATTGCTAGGCCAGGGAAAATATTCAAAACCTGTATGGGTTTTGTGAGGCTGAGGAGGGAGGGAGGGAGGAGGAGGGAGGGAGGGAGGGAGGGAGGGAGGGAGGGGGAGGGAGGGAGGGAGGGAGGGAGGGAGGGAGGGAGGCAGCTCTTGAGTGAAACTACTGTTAAGTTAGAGACAACATGCAATGGCTACAATACCATGTGAGCTGAGGAAGACGGAGGTGAGCACAGGAGGTCCTGTGGTAGTATCAGTAAGTCAGATGATCAGTAAAGCAGGGTACTACACACAAAGGGACTGTCAGGAGGCAGAGGCAAATCCTTAGGTTACCACTTCAAACAGTTTGATACAAAGGTCCCCTAGGGCAGACTTGACAAGATGCTCACCATCACTGCCTCATCCTCTCATAGACTGCTGATCTACAGACTGCTTTCCTGACCACCAGCCTACATGTTATTCCCACTGTACTGAAGACCTGAGTCCCATCAATCACCTCCCAACTCTTGTCTCCAACGACTCTTCTAGTCACTGAACGAAGGATTTTCCTCAGTCCTGGAACTCTAAGCAGGGGCTAGTCCTGGGCAAGACACACATTACTCAGTGATGTAGCTGTTGAAAGTTTCCTGTCAAAGCATTTAGGCTATGATGTTGCCAGAGAATCTGGCAATCTTTCACATGCAGGAGGTGTTCATAGATGTTCTTCACATATGCAAAATAACAATTCTGTTTAGGGTTTTTCTACAGTTTTTCAGAAAAGTTTGATCTTAGAATATTTTCCTAAAGTATTTTTCAAATTATAATTACAATTTCACTATATTGTCTGAAGCTCAGCCTCCTTCCCTAGTAGAATACACACAAACAAAATATCTTCACTTTCATTCCACAATTCATTTTGGAAGAGAAATGAAGGAGTAAGGAGATTCTGAGCAATTAAAACTTCCGATTCCTACTACTTCTGGTGTATACCCAATTATAACCAGCTCCTTGCTAAGTAGAATGAAGAAATGTTTAAAGAAAAGCTGACAGGCTTGCTATGTCACTTGTCTAATCCTTAAATGTTAAAAGTTAACTGACAACAAGAAATGTTCTAGTCATTAACTGTGGGGAGTTGGACAAAAACTCATGGACAGTTACTTTCTATGGACCTACTGGTCTAGAATGGTGTTTTCCTATTCAGAGGGTACATAATGATCACTTGGGATGCCTTACTCCTAACAACTTACTATTATGTCCATAGATTAGTGTAACTGACAAATCTCATCAGAGAAGCTTCTTTTAACACAGGATGGTGATTAACACAGACTCACAATTGTTCAGGTGCAGAGAATAAGGGACTGTGAAATGCTCAGTCCACATGGAGACATCTACACCACATCCTCTCCTCCTAGGCTCAGAGCCAGAGCCAGAAGATATTACAAGGAAAATGTTTTCTGAACACAGCAGAGCAGTTGTAGTACATATGAGCTCACAGCAGCTGTGACAGCATGCATAAGATCTGCACAGACTCAAGCCCGACAAGCTTCAGAATGGAGAAGGGAGGTAGGTAAGAGGCCACACCCCTAGTTACTAAGAAGCTACTGGCAGTTGATAGGTTTTGGGAGAGGAAGTGTCAATTTTCTTTAAGTGTTGACCTCTTTCCAGTGAGGGTCACACATTCAACAGTATCTGGGAGCACAAACTATACTTGATGGGTTTAAAAACAAAAGGACACAAAGTTAAATGGGTATGGAAGGAGGAAACCAAAACACACTGCGTACTTTTCAAAGAACTAACAAAAATCAGAGAGAGAAAAACCAAACAACCCCCCAACACACACACACACACACACGGATGCATGGATGGATGGACGGATGGACGGATGGACGGACGGGTATTCCTGACACAAAGAAGTATTTCATACAGGTAGAGTCTCAAGCTGGGGCTAAGCATTTCAGAGTACTGACCCTTTTCTTATTTTTAAAGAAAGACCAGAATCTCATAAATTCTAACTAATTTCACCTTTATTTTAATTCCTTTCTTAAGAGCAACATAATTTTGGTCAAATTCTAACAATGCCAGCTGCATATGATACAGTACTCAAAAATCACAAAAGCAGATTCTATTCCTCTAGAGGCAATTCATCAATGACTTCAAATAAACAAAGAACCATACTTACCCGGTCAGCAGCTGCATTGTGATACGGGAGCTCTTCCTCACTGTAGAGAATAACAACATAAATGAAATGGTTGAAATCAGAACAGATTTTTACTAGGTGTATCCTACAGGCATGTATTATATGTAATATGTCACTATAAGAGATTCATGTTTCATGTTTCCATTCCATCGAATTCAACAGAAAATGACTGGTCTATAATAACAGCATCCCTCATCTTTAAACACAGTAGTTTCTATCCTACAGGAAGCAATTTGAAGTAAGTCTCACTAGCCACAATCTGACTACACAAAAGTCATGTAGCTACCTAGAGGCTGCTACACTGAACATTTCTATCATGGCAGAAAATTCTGTTGGTGAACACTGCCCTAGACCAGGGTTCAGCAACTCCAGTCACAGGAAACAGTAAATCTTTTAGGCTCTGTGAATCACATACTCTTTCTCATAACTACTTGGATTCTAGTATGGTAGTATGCATGTATATAGCAATCACAAACAATGGAAAACTAAGCTCTACAGAGCTTCTAAAGAACTCAGTGGTAAACTAGCTTTGGCCTTGACACATAGGTCAGTCTGCCATCCTGTGCTCTAGACTATCTATCACTTTCACTCTTGGATCCAACTACTGCCTAAAATAAATCACTGTTTAAAATTTTGCATGAAGAAAAATATGGAGCCAGACCTGGAGGAAGAACTGAAACACTTGCTAATCAAGAGTAGAAGAAAATATCAAATTTAACAACTTCCTGGGTTTCAGTGAGTGTAAAGCCTGCCTGGGCAACTTAGTGAGACCCCATCTCAAAATAAAATAGTAAAATGAGGCTTGTGGGACCAGAAGAGATGGCTCAATTTGTAAGGTGTTTGATATGCAAGCATGAGGACCTGAGCTCAATTCGCCTGCACGCGCGCACGCATGCGCGCACACACACACACACGCACGCAGCATGGTGACAGTCACTAGGGAGGCAGATTTCCGGGGTTTAGAGGCCAGCCAGACTAGTCTATTTGACAAGCCCTAAGGTAAAATGAGGACCCTATACCCCCCCCCAAAAATCAGGTTGATGGCTTCGGCTTCTGAGAAACACCCAGGGTTGACCTCTGGCCTCTACATATAAAAACATCTATACACATGAACCTATACATGGGCCTGAGTGTGTGTGCACACACTCATACAAATACACATGGAGGCTGAAGATGTAATTCAGGGGTAGGGTATGGTATTTGCCTGGCAAGAGTGGGACCCTAGGTTTAATTACCAACATCAAAAAGAAAAAAGAAAAGGAAAGGAAAAGGAAATTGGCTTTAAATGGACTTGTAAATTAAAAGGAAACTTTCACTTTTAGTCTGTAAAATAAAACTTTACTGTCAAAACTTCAACAGAACCCCCACCCCAAGACAGGGTTTCTCTGTGTAGCTTTGTAGACAAGGCTGGCCTCGAACTAATGGAGATCAGCCTGCCTCTGCCTCCCAATTTCTGGGATTAAAGGTATTTGCCACCACTGCCCGGCTTCAACAGAACTTTTTTAATTAAAAAAAAAAAAAAAAGAACAAAACTGGGCTGGAGAGATGGCTCAGCAGTTAGCACTGCAGTTCTTCCAGAAGTCATGAATTCAATTCCCAGCAACCACATGGTGGCTCACAACTATCTATAATGAGATCTAATGCCCTCTTCTGTCATGCAGGCATACATGCAGGCAGAACATTATATACATAAGTAAGTCTTTAAAAAAAAAGAACAAAACCATTTCTCGGGTTCATATATGCTTTCACCTCCAACGTTAAAATATCCTGAGCACCTTATATTAACTGTCAGTAATAAAGTTTCTCATATAAACAAAGCTGATTTTGGCAGCTTTCTCAATAGTATGGATGTTTTGGCAACAATACATGCATATTCTTGCTTCTGTTTCCTCTTGAGATCAAGTGGCACGACTTTTAAGAACATCACAGATTATTAGTCAAGAGCTTGCATTTTCTATGTTATTCTTTGCTTCTCTGAAGAGTCCTGAGATGAACCATTTAGCCATAGCAATGAAACAGACAAAAATGGTATAAAAGCCAAAAGGGAATTTAGAGAGAAAACCCAAATCCCTCTTTTTCATAGATGAGAAAGTAACTGTTTTCATTGTCATTTAGCCTAACACAGAAATATTCAACACAACATAATCCGGAGCATTTAAATGACCTTCAGCTATTGCCAGAGTGTACAAAGAAGGGCATGGGCTAAGCAAACAGGTCTCAGAAAAACAGAAATTCTAAGGATTGAATACAGTCTTCAGCCCTAATGTGGAGACAGCAAGATTGGGTCCTCATATCTTACACCTAACACTTTCCATGTGGGATCTGTTGTGTTCACAGACCTTGTCGTCCTCAAGTCCCTGGGCTGGCATATGCTGAGGCTCACAGCAACCTGAGACCAGAGGATGAACCTCACTAAGAGTCCCATGTGGTTCCAGAACATTCACTAGGATGGTCAAGGTATTCATTGAATATGCTAAGTACTATAAGGCATGTTTGCGTATGGCAATAATCTGTTCCTTCTTCTTTTCCCCCCTCCCCTCTCCTCTCTCCCATCTCCCTCCCTCACTGCCTCCTTCCTTTTTTTCTTCCTTCCTTCTTTTCTTTCTTTCTTTCTTTCTTTCTTTCTTTCTTTCTTTCTTTCTTTCTTTCTTTCTTTCTTTCTTTCTTTCTTTCTTTCTTTCTAAGACAAGGTTTCTCTGTGTAGCCCTGGCTGACCTGAAGCTTACTCTGTAGACCAGGTTGGCCTGCCTTTGTCTCCAAGTGCTGGAATTAAATGCGTGCACCACCATACTGGCTCCAATAATCTGTATTTTGCTAACTAAATCTACTTTAAGTAGAAAAGGTGAAAGGGCACAGTCTGGAATATACAGATGAATATTCCTTCAGGCCAGCAAACCACAGTCCACACAGGTCAAATCTTGTTTGCTGTCTATTTTTATAAATAAAGTTTTTTTGTTTGTTTTTTTAATGGAGCACTGTCATTCTTACTCATTTAGACATGTCTGGGGTTGTTTTCACACTACAGTAGCAGAGCTGAGTCATGGTGACAAGGTCACATGGTCTACAAATCCAAAAGTACTTAGTACCTGGCTCTTGGTAACACATAACTACTACCTATCCCTTGCTTTAGAGTAAAGGTTCTCACCCTTCCTAATGCTGCAACCCTTTAAATCAGTTTCTCTTGTTGTGGTGACCCCCAATCATAAAACTGCTTCATTTCTACTTCATAATGGTAATTTTGCTACTGTTATGAATGGTAATGCAAATATAGAATATCTGACATTCAGCCCCTGTAGTGGTCACAAGCTACAGTAAAGAACCCTGCTTTAGAGACTAGGACTGCAGACACCTGAGGACTGACTGCTCAGAGACAACACTTCCATGTAACAGTAAGAAAATACAGCAGTCATCAAAAGAAAGACAAACACTTGAGCTGGCATGCTTTTCATCTGGGTTAGGGTTTAAATATATTATTAAGTATGTATTGGTCGTTTCTCAACAACTCACAGGATTATTTCTGTAAATGTGAATAAACATTCACCTGGAAACCTAATTTGTTAAAAGAGTTAACATCAATTAAGTTGAATATATTGACTATGGTTCAATTCTGGTTTTGAAGCAAAATTTACCTAACTTTAGAATCAAGCTAGTTAAAATATACATAAGACTGATAAGAGTTCTCAAACCTTTCTAATCAAAATGGGTAATCTTGATATCAAAAGCACCTTGACTACAGAGTAGTAAGCTCCTACAGATCTATAAAAGCATGGGAAACTATGGACAGTCCACTGCATTTTATAAATATACAAATGTGAGTAAGTAGTTGAGCATCTGATGCTCAGTGTTAATTTGATCTCCTCTATTTTTGGTCGAGTTTCCTTTTAATTCTTTCTCCTATTAAAAACTTATGACCTAAAAGCATTATTTATTATCCAAATACCAAGCATTCTTTGTCCAGCAGAGCTGTGGTAGCAAGTTCTGATGAAAACATTTAAAGTTCTATCTACAGCCACTTAAGCAAGGTCAACTTGTCCACTCTGCAGCTGTAACTCTATCACAGGCTGTCTTGCCAGTTACGTTTGAACATACTGTGAACGCTATTATCAAACCAAGACAATCTATATTGTGTTAATTATTGACACTCCTTTATATATCATAACAAAGACTTTAAGTTTCTAAAGCTGTTTCTAGATATGAACTCAGCAATATCCAAAGAGGCTGGGAGGTTGTTCTTTCTATTGTATTGACAATGAATTTAAAATCTAATTTCAATTGCAGCAACAGTCATGACTTACACATAGCTAAGACAGGAGAGGTGCTCTTTTAATCAGGTGTGAAAGAAAGTAATATCTGGGTGCTTACAGCAAAAACATTATCCAACAGTGTTGGGGAAGTCCTGTGTATATGTCAATAAATTACTGCTGCCCAATAGGAATCTAGATAGGTGGGGCTAGGAGTCCAGGAGGATTCTGGGAAGGAGAAAGACAAGAGAGTCAACATGTGACGCCATGGGGGTAGGATGCCGGGAACTATTCTCCGGTAAGAAACATATTTAGATTAACAATTATGGGGTAATTACTTAAGGCAGAGCTAGCCAGTAAGAGACAAACAAGGCCAACAGCTTCATGCGGATCTAGAACCAGGCTGGCGCGGCAGAGCCCAGGTGACGGGGGGATATAAACCAAAGCGGCTAGCAAAAGATAAAGCTTCTCTTAACACAACAGTACAACAGATAAAGTCCTATCTACTGTGGCAAGCAATAAAAGCCACCTGCAGAAAACGCTGGGGGAAGTGCTTGGCTGACAGTAGGCACTGTAACAAAAGTCAACTGATAAAGCCTAATGTCACACTGGAATTCACTCCTCTGCCTCATAGTTTTCATTTGGGCTTCTGTTTGGGGACTATAGCTTAAAGCAGGTTGGAAATTTTTGTTTCTTTTTGTTTTTGTTTTTAATGCGCACCATCATGAGTACCAATACCAATCAGTCTCATTTTAAAAAATATGGTGACCTTTGCTATCTTAGTAGATATGTCGATGCAAGTAGCCATTTCACTCTCCTCTGTAGGCAACTCAAAGCACTTACCCTGTATTTCTCCACTAAATCAAAAGAAGGCAGTAACAGGCAGTACTCTGGAGTGAAACCTACCCTAGACCCCCATCCAAGGAGCTGACAATGTCAATAAACCTGAGGCAATTTATTTGAGCTCTATAGGTTCACCATCTAAAAACTAGAGAAAGAGAACCCACCCCAAAGATGATGTGAAGGAATAAGGGCTCAGAACCCTGCCGGACACACAAGAAGTGCTCAATGAGTAGTAACTAATACTATAAGGAGAGCTATCTACTAGTGACTTTTCCCCACTACAACTGACTGGACCTCAGCCCAAAGTTAAAAAAATAAAATAAAAACAAGCAAACAGGGAAAAAACAAACAAAATCTGACTACAACTTTCCAACTGACAAACATAAGTTAGGCTCTTGGGCAGGAATATATTTGTTTATAACACTTTCAACTGTTAAATTTCACTTGTTTCAACTGGCAAGAAAGAAAATGTAGGTAATTAACAGACCCTCTTGGAATGTATGGATTTTTCAGATGCACTTTATACTAACTGAACTATACTATAATTCTAAAAAACACATTACCATATGGATGGAATGGTCAAAATGAACTGAGTTACATCCTATCTTCTGAATCAAAATATAGTAGAGAATCCAGAAATCTTTTTTTCAACTAATTCTAATACACAGACAAATTTGTGACCCACTGAGCTTAAGAGTCCTCATAATCAAATTGTACTTCAAAATTTGATTCACAACCCAGTTCTGCACTTGACTCACACAAATGTACAATGGCTTCCCATCACAGTTGTGGCTATGTTTGATGGTGATGGGTGGGGGCGGGGAGGGAAGTGGAAGAAAAGAAGGGGGAGAGATAAGAATAATGTGGCGGGGTTTGAGAATAGTAGTTCCATTGTAAGCACTGTTCTGTTGTCTACTGAAGTTCAAAGTCTTCAGATTATAACTATCCAGGAGAAAATTTGAATAGGTACCATCTCTAAGCATAATAAGAGCTTTATGAAATATTCCTACACTTGATTTCTTCAAAGTCTCAACATACAATACATAAGGTAATTTTTATTCTTTTCTCTAGATGACGTATGAAATCATTCACTGATGAGAAGCCAGCTGGTAGGCAAAAAAGAATACACACTGCTAAAAAACACACCAATTTACATAACACTAGGACCTAAACAAGCAGATTGACAGCAGTTTGCAGGCTATTTTTACCAGTCAAAATTCTTCAACTGAATTACTTTATAGTAGTCTAGTCTTTTCTTCTCTCAAGTCTTTAAAGACCACAGTCAAGATAAATAGAGTTAATTTTGAGAAGCAATATTATGATTACATTTGCAACAATAAGGAAGATCAATGGCTTTTTTTCATTGTTCATTTTTAGACAATACTCTAATTTCTAGTTATTTTAACAATTCATCTATATAGAATTACATGTTTTATAATTATTTTAAGAATATAAAATGTTATCCATGATCATTAACTCTGCTAAATTATTAATACAACTCATTTTACACATTTACTGTGTTCTTTACAAAACACAAAAGGTATAAAGATTAACTATAGCTCAATTTTAACCACAGTAGTTAAAATGATAGGAACCAAAAAGTGTACTAGAGCACACCTGGAGTCTTAGAAATAGTCTAATTTTACTAATAGATAACCATAGTCAGAGTATAACTGAAAAACAACAGCTTTCAGCCTGTGTGACTTACTGTAAAAAGCCAAATCTGTCAGTGACTTTGTAAACAAGATAATCAGCATCTTCCCAAGGCTCAATTTCTGCACCTTCTCGTCCCTAAAACAAAAGATGACAAGAGGAGTTATTTGGAATTTATAATACCGAGTATTTTACTGAGACATATCAAACATGAGTACTTTTTTAACTAAACTATTTTTGGCAATGTAATCACTGTTCCTTAGTTATTAGCTATAGAAGACACTGTGTCAGCAAGAACTAACATAACTGCTTTTTCATCAAAATATGTCCTGAGAGAAGTCAATGAGGACAAGAAAGCTACTGCAGGAGAAACTGACAAACCTTAAGTTTAAAGTGAACCATCTAGAACAGGCCTTTCGTAGAACCCTCTCACAGAAGGCAATGTACATTATGTTTTTTCATTGCTTTGCTTCCCGAATATACCAGCCCTGAACCCACTTATTGCTAAACAAAAGACTCCCAAATGAGTGCGGTGGGACATGCATTTAATCCCAGCACACAGTAGGTACAGGCAAGTGGATCTCTATGAGTTCAAGACCAGCCTGGTCTACACAGTGAGTTCCAGGCTGGCTAGAGCCTCACAGCAAGACCTCTCTCCAGGGCTGGGGTGAGGGGAGCTTGTCAAATTCTTCAGTCTGCAGTACTGAAAATTCAAAGACTACTTAGCAATTATGCTCTCTGTCCTCCCCACTTGCATAGCACTGTCCCCTGCTAATCCTTTGCAGTTCTCTTCATACACTCCAAGTCTCTGATGATTGCTTTCATAGCTAACTCTTAACTGCTGGTGTACCCACAATTCTTTCCTCAGCTCACCATTCTAAATACAGTGGTATCGCTTACTCATAGTAATGATTTTAGGACCCCCAAATACAATATATTCAAATTTTAGACTTGTAGACACTTCCATTTAAGTGTATTTTAAATGTCTGCTCCTTTGTTTTCCCTCGAGTAGATTATGAACATCTTATGGGCAAGGACTGTCAGAAATCGTTTTAGTATTACTTTTTAAAAAGTGTACCTTGGGATAACTACATATGGGTGAGTAGTTGGGTAGTGGGGGAGAGGTGACTACAGGTATGAATAAACAGTGCTACTTGCTTATTTTACATTAGCTATGCAATTAACTAGTTATCTAGGTTTTTCATGGATGATAATAACAAGTAACCACTGCACTGGTAACTCTGGGAACAAGACTATTTGAATACTTCCTGAGTGCTTCCCTGAAGGAAGGAGACAGGCCAGGCAGCTATTTAAAATTTCATGTTCCTATTAACCTCACAAAATAGATATTAAAAAGAAAATACACAACCACGTTCAAGTGATGCATGCGTAGAATGTGGCACTTACAAACAGATGTTACTATCCATTAAAAGAGACAAATAAGGAGAAATTATTGATAACAAATTGCTGATAATCTTTGACACCATTAGATTCCATGCTAAAGTGATACAAAGGGAGAGAGGGGAAATGAAGAGGAAGGTTTGAGTGGGAAAGGGAATAGAGGGGAAAGCAGAGAGGAGGGGACAACCAACACTCAGGATGTCTGAAAAGGCCATAAAGAAATCTGCTGTTTAACACCTCAATGTTGGCTAGCTTTCTTAGAAACAGGAAGTGCTATGTAGGCTACTGGGAGAGCTAAGATTAGCAGTCCGACCCAGCTGTGAACACTGAAAGCTACCGTAATGACCAGCCTGGCAATATTTGTCCCTATTGCAATGGTGGCCTGAGTGTAATGAGCAGCCTGGCAATATTTGTCCCTACTTGGTGGCCTGGGTGTAATGGGGAAGTCCTAGCGTACACCTGCAGCACACACTCCATCACTGAGGCAGGAATCTAGAGACAGGAACTGTGAAAGAAAGCTGGTGCTGACTGGATTTCTGGCTTAACTAACTATTTTTATGTAGCCTAGGACCACCACCTGAGGAATGGTACCACCCACAATGGGATGGGCCCTCCTACATCAATTAACAATTGAATAATCCCTCACAGATATGCGCCCAGAACAACCTGATTATACCATTCCTCAATTAAGGCTTTTCTCCAGTAACTCTGAGCTGCGTCACCTTGGCCATTAAAGATAATCAAGACAAGGGTAATCAACTACTTTCTAATTGTATTTCAGGCCCACTTCACAGAAGGAAACACATGCCTGGTAAAGCAAATCTGACTAAGATCCACAGCTGGGGAGTTCACGTGCCCCAGGAGTAAACCTAATACCATTCTTTACTAAAAGACGCAGTATCAAACTGCCTTCTACATCCGTATCTCTCTATACCCACAGATGAGTGCAACTTCAGTGCTCATCAGAGAAGCTTCCTTCTGCTCAGCTATCAATGCAGAAACTCATTATTGGTCAAAATGCAGCCAGTAAATGTTTGAGGGACATTACCATGAATGGGCTGTCTATATCACACCTGTTCTCCTCCAAGGTTCATGAACACTGATTGTGGAAGGGGCCAAAAGGCTGTTAGAGCCAGAGGCCAAGGAGGAAAGGGTTAAACGGTGTACTCAAGAGTTCACAGCAGTGTGCCTGCCTGCATAATATCCAGCCTGTCAGCATTCTAGCATGGAAAGGGAGTGGATCCTAAGCCTCAGTCCTGAGCTAAGGAACTATTGACAGGTGACAAATGTCAGGAGAGGAAGAGCCAGTTTCCTTAGGGTCCCTGGTAGATTGAGCATGTTCCATTGGATGGATGCACACACATGTGCATATGGGCAGCACAAACTGGATTCGGTGGGGAGGGAAGGAGGGAGGAAAGGAGGGAGGGAGGGAGGGAAGGTGGAAGGGAAGGTGGGAGGGAGGGAGGGAGGGAGGGAGGGAGGGAGGGAGGGAGGAAGGAAGGAAGGAAGGAAGGAAGGAAGGAAGGAAGTTGGGCATAGGAATAAGAGGTGGAGAGTGGGAGAAGTTTGGCAGAGGAATAGGAATGAATATGATAAAAATACATTGTATGAAATTCTCAAAGAATTAAAATATATCAGAAAATGAAAAAATAGATTTCATTCTGACATACAGGTAAAATGCTAGTTTAAATTTATATGAAACATAAATACAAGAATCTGAGATTTACAATAAATTCACAGAGTACACTTAAAAACTATTCTACAAGAAAATTTAATTCTACATATCCATTCTCTCGAGTATTTAAGTAGCTGCCATAAGTAAAAAATTGTACTAGGTATTTAGCTTACAGGAATAAATCAAACAAAATAACCCCCCCCACCACACAGAGTATAGAAAGGAAGAGCAGATAACAAGCAAAACCTATCAAACACTGGTGTAGGTAGTATTGGGAGGAAACAAAAAGGGCCTGCTCTCAGAAGGGAGGGTGAGGGGAGATGTGCGGGTGGGCAGTGGGGTCTCAGAAGACAAGCACTGCAGGGAGGAAACAGCACTGCAGTGCATGAGCACAGCGGCCGGGCAAGTCTGCAAAAACAGCTAAAAAGAAGGGAGGCACACAGGAGAGAGAACTCACAGAAACAGAGAAGGAGTTGAGCTCAATGTTCTCACAAAGGGAACAAACTCCTTGTTATTTAAGCTCTCCAGAAAGCAAGCCCTTTTCTATTTATACGTATTTCTTAATAAAAACCTACTCAAAGAATAAATATAGATACTTACCCTGTCATATTTAGCAACTATTTCAGCTCGTTCCTGAGCAAGTTTGAGTGCTACATCCTGGTCCGAATCTGTGGAGAGATCAAATATAGGTGGGCTGTTATCCTGAGAATAATGATGTTATTCATAAAACTAATAAAACATAAAAGCAATACTGCCTACAATGAAAAAGTAATAAAATCAAAATGATGAGTTAAGTGCAGCTTTAGAATACTAACCGTTTTATCACGTCAATTCTATGTATAAATTCAAAGGGTGTAAATGTATTAATACAGCAAACATGTCACAAGACCACAAATCTAAGGCCCTGCTGTGGTCTTAATTTCAATGAGATGCCCTCCCACTACCCCCCCCAACACACAAACACACACACACCCTCCATGTTTCGGTATCTGGTCTTGAGCTGGAGGTGCTGTTTTGGGAGACTAGACCATTTAGGATGCAGAACCTTGACTGGCAAATGGGGCTGGGAGTGACAAGGGCAGGCCTTGAACAGAGCCCAGACTAGCCCCTCTCTGCTTGCTGGTTTAGCACCATTTGAGAGGGCCCTGCCACATGTTCCTGCCACCCTGCCTTCCTAGCCATTTCCTAGAACCCATAAGCCAAAATAAACATGTCTCTCCTCCCGCTGTTTGTGTTAGGTATAATATTCGCCCACAGTGACAAGGGAAGTAACTAATACAGCACTTAATCAACTCTGAATTCAGATAAAAGGGGGGAGAGAAGGGATTTAACTGGGAAGTAAGCATTGAGCCAAGGCAAGGCAGGGGAGAGGGGGAGAAAGGACCAATAACACTAAGGATGCTAAGAGCTCTAAGGAACATTATTTTATGTTTGCTTAAAAATAAAATATGTAGGTGAGGCAAGCCTAACTTCCGGTGGCCTGAGCAGAAACACCGGAGACCTGAGGACTGCCCACAGCAGTTACGGATCCCAGCCCCACAGGATTCAGCCCGCCTAGAGACTGCCAGCTTCCAAGTCCGAGTCTCCACCCACAAGACAGGCGAGGCTAGGGTCCAGCCTACCCAGAGTTTGCTAAGGTCCTGATACTAGGACGGTCTCCATCTACACAAGAGGAAAGCCACCAGGGACTTGCTCCCACCCACTGGAAAGGAACCGTGGTCACATACCCACCAGGGGAGGAAGAGACTCCTTCTGCACCCACAGGAAGAAATGATGGGAAGGAGACAACACAAAAGCACACCCACCAACAGAAAAACCAATTATGACACCACCAGAGACTAGAGAATCTACATCCGCAACACCTGAACAGTCCATTGCAGAAGAAGCAGATGAGAAAGACCTTAAAAACAACTTCATGAAAGTGATAGATGCCCTCAGAGAAGATATGAGAAAATTCCTTAAAGACATGAGGGAAGTTCATAGCACTAAGTGCCCACATGAAGAAACTGGAGAATAGTTACATTAGAGAATTAATAGCACAACTGAAAACTCTAGAACACAAAAGAAGCAAATTCACCCAGGAGGAGTAGATGCCAGGAAATAATTAAATTGAGGGCTGAAATCAATAAAATAGAGACTAGGAAAACAGTACAAAAAAAAATCAATGTAATGAAGAGTTGGTTCTTTGAGAAAATCAACAAGACAGACAAACCTTTATCCTAACTTACCAAACGACAGAGTGTGAACATGAAAATTAACAAAATCAGAAACGAAAAGGGGGACATAACAACGGACACTGAGGAAATCCAGAGTTAAGACTGGGCTGGTTTAAACCACAGAAACAGTTGACCTGAACAAGGGGGAGCTCTTGGACTCCAGATTGATGGCTGTGTGAAAAGCAGGGGACTGACCCAGACCCCCTGAATGTGGGTGCCAGGGAGGAGGCCTAGGTAATTGATGGGGCCTTGGGTAGTATTTATCCCTGGCGTACATATAGACTTTGAGTGCCCATGCCACAATATGGGAGGCTCTCTCAGCCGGGACTCTTGGGGGAGAGCCTAGGCCCTGCCCTGGATGAAATGACAGTTACTGGAGATCCACCATGGAGGGCCTCACCCTCCCTGGGGATGGGAGTGGAGATTTGGTGGGGGACTGGGAGACCTGGTGGGGAGGGCGGGGGAGGAGAGGAGGGAGAAGGAGCTGGGATTGACATGTGAAACAAGGTTGTTTCTAACCTAAATAAAAAATTATTATTATTATTTAATAAAATAAAATAAAATATGTATAAATTGTCTATTGTTGTGATAAAACATTCTGACCCAAAACAACTAGGGGAGTATGCTGACTAGGTATTTTGTTTTGTAAATCTGACATAAATTAGAGATACCCTGAAGAGGGACTCTCAATTGAGAAATAGTCTCCATCTGATCAGTTTGCTATCTGTGGGCATTTTCTTAATTAATGATTGGTATGGGAGGGGCCAGCCCACCGTAGGCAATTTTACCCCTGGGCAGGTGGGTCCTGGGTTGTATAAGAAAGCACGCTGAACTAGTCAGAGAGCAAGCCAGTAAGCAGCACTCCTCCTGTGGTCTCTGCTTCAGTTCCTGCCCTTACTTCCCTCAGGACAGACTGTGACATGGAAATAAACACTGTCATCTACAAACTGATTTTGATGTATGTTTCATCACAGGAACAGATAGGTGGATAGATGATAGGTAGATTAGATAGATAGATAGATAGATAGATAGATAGATAGATAGATAGATAGATAGACTGACTGACTCCAGTCACCACAATAACAATAAAGGACAAATCAGATTATGTAAAAGGTATGCCAATTAAGGGGAAAAATCAAGAACAAGAAGTTCACAAGAGCAACGGTAAGACAGCAGCTATATCTGTGCTGAGTGCAGGCAGATAGCAAGACACTGCGTGGAGCTCTTTAACAGGCCTTGCCACAAATTCTCACGGCATTATAAGACAAGTATCATTAACCTTTCGCCAATCATAACCAATCATACATAAGGCTTAGTAGTATCAAACAGATTGTCCAATGCCACAAAGCTAGTAAAAACTAAAGCTCAAAATCAAAGCCAGTCCTAATCGTATAGTCCTCAACTTTAACCACTATTTCATAAAAACAATTCAAAGCACACACAAAAAAAGATGGCAGACAGAACATAACATTTCCATTTTCCCCTAAAATCCTATTGCTATGACAATTTAGGAACTCTTGAAACCCCTCCCCTAAAGGTCTATCATTATGGTTTGGATATGAATTGTCCTTCAGAGACTTGTTGAAAGTGTGGTTCTGGGCTGAGTGTACCACTGAGAAGTGAATGGATCGGGAGGACATTAACTTCACCCAAAGAGTAACCGACTGATAAGTTCACAGCTCAATGTGAACTAGTGTTTTTAGGAGGTAGGCCTACTCATAGGCCACTGGGTCTGTCTTGTCCCAGGTCCCTTCTTCTTGCTCTTTCTCTCTCTGCTCCAACATATCCTTCAACCATGATGTTGCCATAAGTCAACAGTGGAGACAGCAAACCACACACTGAGATTCAAAATGGTATGCCAAAATAAATGTCCTTCTGAAGTTGTTTATCAGTGGCATTTTCTCAGTGATAAGAGAACTGACTAATGTACCTTGGAAAGGGAAATTCCTGGGGAAATACAGAGGGAATGGAGTTAAAGATAGGGAATACTGAAGGGCCTTGTGTGGCAGAGGGGACTGCAGGGCACTCCCCAGAGGAGGAAAACAAAGCTAATACTGGAAACTGAAGAAGTGGGAAGCAGTATTATGACATGTCACTTAGCACAGGGAAGTAAACAGAGAATGAAATCAGTCTAGGTGATGCAGAGGTCATTCCAACTGAGAAGGCACTGTGCAAGTCAATTGTTCCAAAGGAAATAGTATACACTGCTGAATTGTTACACTGATGCACAGCTCTAACAAAAATAAAATCTAAATTTAATGGGGTTACAGAGATGGCCTAGAAGCATGTTGCTCTTGCAAAGGACCTAGGTTTGGTTACATGCTTACTCAAATCCATCTGTAACTCCAGTTCCAGGACATCCAACCCCCTCTTCTGACCACCTTGGGGATCAGGCATGAGCATGGTACACATACATACATGCAGGCAAAACACCCAGACACATAAAATAAAATCAATCTAAAGATACACAATCTCGGTTTACAACAAAAACTAAAATACTGGGGCGGGGACAGACACACACACACACACAAAGTCAGGCTCAATAATTACAGAAACAAAGTTTTAAAATATAACTTTGCATCCACTTAGACTCAATAACAGCAAAAGTGCTGACAATACTGACAAAAGCCAGAGGTCACTTGCAGTTCAGGACACTAAGACTAAACACATAAATGTACAAGAGCTTTCTGAAAAGTAACTGAATATAGTATGTGTTAGAAATCTTACTAAGAGATACATTACTCAACATTCTACCTCTGGGGATTTAGGTCAGTAAACAAGTACAAGTTATTATAATACCAAAACCCAGCAAAATGGGAAGTTTAACATTTGGTTAAAGTTGTTTTCCTGGGGGAGGGGGATAGGCGCAGAAAACATTTCTTTCACATTTCTCAGAGTACAAAATATTAATAAGCTCTCCTTCAATGCAAGTGTGAATAGTAAGTAAACAGAATGATGTTAGATAGTAACCAAATACACACTAGTTGTTCCGATGTTACAGCAAGCTAATACAAGGAGAAGTCTGATATAAGCACACGAATGTCTTCATCCCATTTCCCCTGTGACTCTGACACTGGGCTTTGACACAATAGACTCATACCTCTATTGCAGGGAAGAAAGTGAGTGCACAGAAATTAAAGTCAAGCCCACTGAGCTCCAGGAGTGCTATCAGAGCTGCTAACATTTCCTTCCAAATCAGCAGACTAATGTTTTCCAAAGATATGTCTTTTACAGTAGGCCTTAATTCCCACTACCAGCCCCAGGACTGTCAGCAGATATCTGACACAAGAAGGAAAAGTTTTAAAGTGTATAAGAAAGAACAGAACAGGAAGCGATGTGGGTAGGAGCTTAAATGTCAGTAATCCAAAAAATGTGGGCAAGCCACAATTTATGAACCTTTACTTCCACTATCAGGCTAAGAACTCTACAAGGGAAAACCTAATTGTCTAATA